ACTACCTCCGGTTCTTCATATAAGATCTTATTTGACTTTTATTTTGGTCTTAAATATAAAACCCTAATCCACTTTGTCTCTCGTATTTACTTAATTTTTTTCAAGATAGTCCTTCTAATAATTATAATTCTAATCAATACACTTGATTAGCAAAGATATTTTAGAAAAGACAACACCTATTTAGGACAAATAACTAACTCAATTTACTTCTTTAATTTTCTCAAATTAGTCAACTGGTTCTCATAATTAGAACCGGAGGTAGTATTTTCATCACTAGTAACACAATGGCAGCTTCTTAATTGATTTCTAATAATCTATAAGAAATGTTTTTTTTTTGGAAAAAAATTCATTAAGTACTCCTAAAAACTCAAAATTTCCTTATTATTTTTTTAAACATTAGTACATTTTTTACATCTGTATTATAATTTTAGACGGAAGGAGTAACTTTTGAGTCATGAAACTTCTCCAGACGTATATAAAAGGCTGGGAGATCAATTTAAAAGCATTAATTAATATTGACTTAATGAATTTGGGATAATTAATTATGTGTCTACCAAGTTGAAAGAATAGGGGAATGCTAGCGCCGCTTCTAGATTCATTGCAAATGAGTCGGCGCGGTGGGTTAAACATAATTAATTAGTCGCCAATATAATAAATTAGGCTCTTAATTAAATGACCGTATCCATCCAGGACCATCGCAACCGGAATGATAATGATGGAGTCGTATTTATTTGGCTTTTAATTATTTATTGTCTTCACTTTTTAATAAAAAGGGACAAAACCCAAAATCAAAATTACATTTCCTATGCATCTGTTATTTTTAATTAATTTTAATCTTTTTCTTAAATCACGTAACTCGGTTGTTTAATTTGAATATTATAACAAGAGACATAAAAAGTATTTTTATTCATTTTTGTCCCCCATTAATGACATATTACATGACTAAGTTAATTATTTTATTCACTATTTCACTCTCGATAAATAAGAGTATTTTAAAAAATAAAACATTTTGTACATATTTTTTTATTATTTTTAATCAACTTTAATTAATTCTTTTCTATGTAGTTCATTTTTTTTTGTGCTTTATATATAATATTTGAAGGAATATAAAGTAAGACAACGGCTAAATATCTCTTAGTTCAATAACGCCTCAACCCTCTGTTTTATAAAGAAGATTACGGGTTCTATAACTCAAAAGTGTCCAAAAAAAAAAACATGAGAGGCGTAAGAGTGAAAAAAAAATGAATTGTTGACAAATTTTTCATTTAAACATTGGGATTAATTCAAACTTTGGTCTATTAAATTTGTCCTCATTGAGGTTTTGGTTCCTCAACTTATTTTTCATTTATAATATTGATTCATATAATTCAATAAAAACTCAGACCGTTTTATTTTTTAGAGACCAAAATTTATGGTTTAAAATTTGAGAGACCAAAACCAAAATAAGCACAAACTTAAAAGATAACAAAAATTTATTAACCCTACACATTAATTTAATTTAATAGGGTTGGAGAGAAATAAAGCAACACAAAGTTGGAAAAAAAGGTAAAAGAAGAGAGGGTGTTTAGGGCATGGGGCCATAGACGAAGAAGTGTTCTTGGGACCCCTTGAAGAAAAGATGCTATCAAAGCACTTTACACTTGAAGGTTCCTTTGGCGTTTCCACACAAGAAAAGCATCATTTCCCATCCTTCATCATTCAATTTCTGCTTCTTTTACGGGGAAATTTCTTTACACACCAAATTTAGAAACCACTCTCTTCATTCTCTTTTATAAGATATATGAAAAAAAAAATATTTTTTTGTTTTTGCAAAGATATCATATGAAATATTTATTACACATTTTTTTATAACACCCATAATTAATTTTGGTTCATTTTCTAAGGTAATATGTATTTAAATAAGAATAAAATTTAAAACTTATTTAATTTTTAGACAGAAATGATGAGTCTTTTTTGGTTTCGATGATAATGCTAGAAATGCTTTATATACAAGCTTGAAAGAAGTATTTATTTCGAAGGATCAAATCCAAAATTCAACACTCAGTATGAAAAATTTACAAATGTTTGTTCCAGTATACAGCATTTGAGATGCTTAGAAATAAATAGTTTTTTAATTGGATTTTTATGAATAATTCCCCACTTAATTACTATGGTAAGCAACCTCTTAGAAAGAAACAAAAGAAAGAAAAGAAGCAATACGCTCAGTCCTTCGTTTGATATCATAAAATATTTTCAACTAATGCACGCATGATAAAGAGAATTTACTTGAAAATATAGACAATAAAAAAGATGTTTTGCTTAAAATACACCCACCAAGTTGCAATTTAGTGATCAGCATTAATTTTAGTTTTTTTGGCCAACAACATTTAACTATTAAGCTACATCTATATATTTACCATAAAATGTTTTTGACAAAACCGTTTATTTAGAGATATTACTTTGACCCTACTTCTAAGGTAGAGAGATAAAGTTCTCAAATAAATATACAATTTTATTTATTATTTATTATTACATTATATTATATTTGTTCTCACAAAATATAATATATATTAAATATAAATAAAATTAAAAATTTGTTAAATTTTAACATAAGGTTAATAAAAATTTAAAATTATATTAACTTTGTTCTTATAGGAGTACTCCTATTGCCCCTTTTTGGCTGTGCATATAAGTTTGTGAGCTGGTGAGTGGTGAGGGCGTGAAAGTCAGCGAGCTTTAATATGGCACTGGCCCTACGCCACAGGCATCTTAGCCTGTGAGCCCTACAAATTTCTTCCTCTCTTTCACTCACTATGAAGTTAACAAGTCCTCATGAAAGAAATTCAATTAGTCTTCATAAAGTTATTCATTTTGGATGTTGAGAATTGACGCAAGTGGTTGAATGATGAAAAGGACTCCATGTTCTTTTTTTATTTGTAATATAAATCATTTTAATCAATTCATTAATATTACAAAATGATAGTTAATTCATTAAATATGTTTGAAATTAAAATTATTTTCCCATTTTTGTCCATATTAAATGAGGTTATGAATGAGAGATAAAAATACAAAGAGTTATACTTAAACATTAACTGCAGGGACAAAATTAACAAATGAGTATTAATTACTTTTCAAGTGACTTATATTTTGAATAAAATCATTCTTCTAAAAGTGAATTACATTGTAGATTGGCTGGAATATATAAATGTGTATACACATAGATGCAATATACAAATATAACTATTATTGAAAAGCTAAGTTGTACTCGTAAGATTTGAGTTGGGTTGTTAATGAATTTATAATTTAGTGGTATGAAAACTATTTTTTAAATAAAAAATCGCAAATTCAACCTAACTTATAATCTCGAGCTGTTAATATAGTTCTGCCTTTGAGAAATTTGGACTGGATTAATGCCAACAAGCTTACCTGGCTCTACTTGTTTGAACTTTGATGTCATGAGTACATTAACCACTGGTCTTAATACAGGCAGCACTTACTTAAAGCCCAGTCAAAGCCACTTCTTGTGTCAATAAATACTAGTGGTATATATTTATGTAGTACTCCTCCGCTCCTTAATGTAAGACCCATGTAAATTAGTTAATTATAAGAAAAGTGACACATTTTTCCTAAAACACCATAATCATCTTTCTTAATACCCTTCTCCCTCTTCTACTTGATTATAGTTGAGGGAGCATTCATAGGGGTAATTTAGAGAAAATTGATAAATATGAGAAATGGGTCTTATATTTAGGACCAAAGTTAACTCAAAAATTGGGTCATATATTAAGGACCGGAGGAGTATAAAAATTAGGAGAATACTTTGCTATTAAATATAAGTTGACTCACATTCGAGTAGTGTCTCGAGTTTAATTGGAATTAACTTTTTTAAAAGTATTTTCTATATTCATAAAGATTTAAACTCAAAATCTCATACTCCTCCGGTCCTTAATATAGGACTCAATTGTAGAGTTGGTTTTGGTCTTAAATATAAGACCTATTTTTCATATTTATCAATTTTCTCTAAATTATCCCTATGAATACTCCTTCAACCATAATCAAGTAGAAAGAGGAAGAGTGAGTATTAAGAAAGATGATTATGGTGTTTTCAGGAAAAATGTCTCACATTTCTTATAATTAACTAACTTACCTAACTTCCTTAATCTAATCAAATTAGTTAAATGGGTCTTATATTAAGGACCGGAGGAGTATATCAAAATCTTTTTCACTAGGATCAATACTTGTTGATCATCCAATCAGCAGCTTATTTTTATGTTTTTTTTTTGTTGTTGTCAAAACCCCTTATCTTTATTAGAAGTATATAAAATATTTTTTAGATGCTAAATTGTTTTTTAATAGACATGTCTAATTTTTTGTTACTTATATTTGACCATGAAGTTTTTTTTATATATATAATTAAACCTATCATGATTGTGGGGAGCTTTGACTGTTTCCTTCTTGTTGGACAGTATAAATTATAAAAAGAAACAGATTTTATTATTGTCTAAAATAAATATACATGTTATTTGTCTATTTTTCAAACAAGAACAAAAAAAAATTTTAGTGTGGAAATTTTTTTTTTTAAGCTCCATTTTACGCACCCGACATCTTAGTGCATTTAGGACAACAATCTTTTATAAAATAATGGAAACTAATTTTTGCTATTCCAATTTTAACCTTGACAAGTTCCGATATTTTTTAACGGTGTCAACTTCGTTAGTTGCCGATGGTTTCTTTTAACCAGGTGAAAGGAAAGCATCTACCTTTCCCGTCTTGTTCTTGCATTTGCGTAATTCTGTTTTTCGTTTTCTTTCTCTTTAACTTTCTCGCCTTTTACCCGCGAGAAAATCCTTGATCATTGACTATTTAATGTCAAGATCGCGAAATTATCTGATGAATGTCAGATAGCTTGCTGTTTACTAATATATTATTTCCTTAATTCTCTTTCTTTCCCACACAGACCTCAGCAGTTTGATTATACCGCTTTGAACATATTGAAACAACGGTATAAAAGGCATTCTTATGTTTCTCTCTGTTGCTCAGTTTTCTCTCTCTGGAAAGCATCCGCATCCATGGTCGCTAACTCCAAGGACTTCACACTCTACAGTGATTAATCTATCGCTCACAAAAACCCTAAATTAGGGTTCCCCACGAAATCTGGAACGTTGCAGCCTTTGTTCCCAACCTTTCACATTCACATTGCTTGCGTTTACGTATTCTCTTCTTTCTCTCTCCCGGGCTTCTTCTCCACTGCTTGCAGTGTCTCAGTTTTGTCGCAGCTCCGAAACAAATGGGCTTCTGGAAGTGAAAGGTGTGATGGCGATTTGGGGGTTGTCGTTTTGACCCCAAATGGGCGTGTCCAAGGCCTGGAGGTTTAGCTTGTTATCGACGAACCTGGCTCTGTTACAGCACCCGAATATCAATAAGCATGTGTGCTGGAGATCGATGACGACGGCGCCGACGTCATTGCAGCAGAGGAAGCCGACCTCTTGGTCGGTGGTGTGCGGCTTCATGCTATTCGCGTTGGGCTTGATTTCGCTTTTAACAGGTCATATGGCCTCTGATCTTGAATGGTACTCTCAACGATTGGTTCAGCGCACTTTCTACTACAGACAGGTAATCATTGTTTGTCTGCGTATGCGTGAATTCCAGCGCGTGCGTCCGCATTACGCAATTGAATGGGTAATGTTGGGTTTGAGGCGTTTCAAATTGGAAACTTGTTACCTGCATTATTGTCTTGATTTTAGTACCAATGTGGTTTCTGATATATATTATCAGCCACCCAACAGAGATTATGGTTGTGATTTTGTTTGCATATCTTCATCGACATCCATATTAATTAAAAGTAAATTGATGTGAATCTTTGTAGCATGGGGAGTACCGTGCGCCAGTTGATATTTGGAAATCACAATATTCTAGATACTACTATGGGTGCAGTGAAAGAGGACGTCATTTTGCTCGTAAGTTAATTTACCACCTCTTTCTGTTCCTTATTCCATATCTTCCAAGTGACCATAGCGACGGGGATGCATTTCCTTGCACGAATTGCCATTCAGTGTTTGGTCAGTGTTTGTCTGGACCAAAATTGAAGTCACTATCTGGCGCCAATGCCATTTTATAGCGTTATTTGGCTGCTCCTAACTTTTTAATTTGATTTTTCAATTTATTTATGACCCAAAGTACGTTAAGGTGATACTTTTATCAACCTACTCAATGTGATGACTGATGATATAATAAGATTTAGGCACAAATGACGTTTCTTAGAAAATTCTGCTGAGCATAGTGAGTCTCCATGTTGCCATGTAGTTTGTACTTTTATCCCATTCTGTCCGTTGTCAAATTTGTTTTCTGCATGGGGCTAAACTGCAACAATTGTCTTGCTGGACATCTTTGCAAGTTTGGCTAGGAGGTGGTCAAAACCAATGGAATCGTTGAAACAAGAAAAGGAAGTTTTTTTTTTTTTTTTTGGGGGGGGGTGTTTTGTAATGTTAAAGTACTTTGAAAATCTCATTGCATGTTTATCACGTCTGTTTCTAGTTGAGCAAGATGCGCTGATGTTATCTGGTTGGAGTATGTATGCTGTATTATGTAATTTCTAATAATTATCGTTTGTGTTACTTCTAAACAAATGACTCCTTTTATCATGCTCTATTATTTTGGTTACTGGATAATGTAGCTGCTGTGCATGAGCGATCTTCAAATGGCTACTTGCTTATTGCAGCTAGTGGAGGACTGAACCAGCAAAGAACTGGGGTAAGTAGGACATAAGTTTTATGATATCCTACAAACCATCCCTCTAGAGAGTGCTGCCAACGAACTTCTGGTCACTCGTTTAATTATCATTCACACCTTTAATAAATACTTTTTAATGATTTTAACTCTGTCATTAAAGACTTTCTTATGAGGAAATGACCATCATGTTCAGATAACGGATGCTGTAGTTGTTGCACGAATTCTTAATGCTACTCTAGTTGTACCTGAGCTGGATCATCAATCTTACTGGAAAGATGACAGGTACATAGCCGATTTTATCAACCTTTTGTTATTTAGGTTAGAGTTGGTAAGAAAAGTTTAGTGTTTTTTTACTCGAGACTTTTATTTGAATGCAGTGACTTCATCAACATTTTCGACATTTCTTGGTTCATTTCTTATCTTGCAAAAGATGTTCCTATTGTCAAAAGAGTTCCTGATAAGATCATGCGGTCAATGGAAAAGCCACCATATACAATGCGTGTCCCGAGGAAATCAGAGCCGGAATATTATCTTGATCAAGTGTTGCCAATCCTCTTAAGGAGACGGGTAAGGCTGCTATCGATATGGGGATGGACTCCTGTTTTCCTGAATTATTTTGCTTTGAATTTCATATATGTTTGTCATTATGAAGCTTTTGCACTCAGTAACGAACAATGGGGATGTTTTGCAGGTTGTGCAATTGACGAAATTTGATTATAGACTTGCAAATAACCTTGATGATGAGTTACAAAAACTCCGCTGTCGTGTTAATTATCATGCCCTAAGGTTCACAAAACCCATACAAGAACTTGGTCAGAGACTGGTAATGAGGATGCGAAAGATGACAAGCCGATTTATTGCAGTTCATCTAAGGTTTGTTTAAAGAACCTGATGGATGAAGTTTAAAATTTAAATTCCATCTAAAGTAGAATGGTGCATGTTGCTCATGTAAGCAATCTAAGTTTCATAGATCTTAACCCAAGCTCTCTTTCCTTGTGCTTTCTCTTTCCCAAGCACACTACACAATGGACTTTTATCTTGAAAGTCTTTCAACTAATCTTGTTATTGTTGCTCCCTCTTCTGCTCTCAGCAGCTTCTTTACTTATGCATCTTTTGTCAGAAGGGGGCTTGGGAAGCATGGAAACTGTCATTACCTAAAATGTTGGATTCTCATAATTTACAATTAATTTGTTGCAGGTTTGAACCAGATATGCTAGCATTTTCAGGTTGTTATTTCGGTGGGGGAGAAAAAGAGAGACGTGAACTGGGTGAAATCAGAAAAAGGTGGACAACATTGCCTGTAAGACTGCAATCCTGTCATTTCTAATGCTGTTTTTTCTCATTTATCTTAACAGCAGGATGATGTCATTTTTGTTGCATGTGTTGCAAGCCTACCTTTTTAAATATGCTTTGATTACACTTTGTTTTTACCTTAATGCAACCTTGTTACTTGTGTGCTGATATAAGACGAATGGGCAATTTTCCTTGTATGAATTTGCAGGACTTGAGCCCTGATGGAGAGCGCAAGCGAGGAAAATGCCCACTTACTCCTCATGAAGTTGGTTTGATGCTGCGGGCACTTGGCTTTGCAAATGATACGTACCTCTATGTTGCGTCAGGAGAAATATATGGTGGGGATGAGACTATGCGCCCTCTTAGAGAACTTTTCCCTAACATGTATACTAAGGAGATGCTTGCTAATGAGGACCTGAAGCCTTTCCTTCCATTCTCTTCCCGTCTTGCTGCCATTGACTACATTGTTTGTGATGATAGTGACGTGTTTGTCACAAACAATAATGGTAACATGGCCAAGATACTTGCTGGTCGAAGGTAAGAAGTAAATTTACTGTAATCTCATGCTGTTGTGGGGTGTTACCTTTTCGAACATTATGCCAGCCTTTGTTGTATTTTCCTACTTGGGGTGAGAAATTTGCTTCCCGTTTCACACACACACAGAGCATGCCAATCATAATGGTTAAGTTCCTTCTTATTATAGAATGGCTATAGTCATATTGTGATTGTTCTTTTTTGAAATATGGCTACTGTGTTACATTATTGACTGAGTTATACTTGTGCGCAAAATGTGAGGGAGGAATGGACTGTGTAATTTTGCCTAGATTTAGGATTGATATTTACATGTCCTTATTTGCCTTCGGTCTAGTGGAAAGGAGAAAGACGGCAATACGTCAAACATGACCAAGAAATCAATTCTGAAATTTCTTGTAACTTCATTTAATTTTTTAGAAAGTGCTCAGACAAGTTATTGTCGTTTGGTCATAAAGATTTTAGGATATAAATTGGGATAAATAGTGATCTGGGCTCAGATCACTCTTCAATTAGCAGGGGTCCTCTATTGATTGTTTTACAACTGTTTAAGATGTTAGCTCTCTCTCTTGGCTGGTACAATGTTGAAAAGTAAATCCTTGATTAAGGAGTACTACCAAGTATTCAGTGCCTCTTGAAATTCACACTGTGATAGAACATAAATTGAAGAGTTCCTTCGATAATTGAGCCACCCGAATGGGACTTGTTGAAGTTTTTCCTTTTCTTATGGGTCTAAGCCTCCTTAATCAGCAATTCCATCATTCTGCTGGAGAGTTATTCTGACCTTTAGACATCATTGCTTCAATAAAAATGGCCAAACGATCTGTAGAGCTGAATCTCAATTTTTTAAAATGACAAGAATATCACATAATCCAAGAAGCAACTATAGCATTACTATTTAATGTCTATGCTGGATTTAGATACTGAAGTGTTAATCTCACTCAATTTTGTTTTCCTTTGTGGTCAGCACTCGATGATAGTCCAAATAATTTTTTTAAATAAAAGATTCTCATTGTCATGTTTTTCCATTGATGTCACTCCATGTTCCTTTCAGTGAAGTGTGCTTTGTTAAATAAAAAAGTAATCCCTTTGGCCTTATTTATAAGATTCTGTCTGTTGGTCTATAATATAAGGCTCTACGCAAAATTTAATGAAGCATTTGTGTTCAGCTTTATGCCCTTATCACTTCATCATTGAGTGAAGCATGTTCGCCATTGATTGTTCATTTATAGACAGAAAGTTATAGACATATGTAGTTTGTCTACATGTGGTTATAAATTACCTAACTTTTATTATATCCCGTTTTTCCATATTCTATTTTTGGATTAGAGAAGGGCTTGAACTTGAAGAGTACCCTAACATCCCTGCTAAATTTCATTATGCATATTACAGGAGGTATCTGGGTCACAAAAGAACCATTAGACCAAATGCAAAGAAGCTTAGTGCGCTGTTTATGGCAAGAGATAAGATGGATTGGGATACCTTTGCCAGAAAGGTCAAGATATCTCAAAGAGGATTTATGGGAGAGCCGGACGAGGTGAGGCCTGGACGAGGAGAATTTCACGAATATCCCAATTCCTGCATCTGTGAAAAACCACTTGTAGATGAAGCAAGCAAAGATGGATATAAAAATGTTGCTACCAACGTTACAACGAACTCGGAATCCACAATGAATGGAGGGAGAAAGATTCGAGAGTTTTCAGCTGCAAAAAGGTAGCAGGAAAACAGTAAGCGGGTGACAAGGAAGTAACTTATGACCAAGTGAGGATCATTGGGAGAAATAAAACCGGCCAATCTACTTGTTGACGGCGTGAATTGTCGATGAGAGCACCTTTTTCAAGTTCCACAAGGCAGATATCAAGTCAGTGCTAATTCAACTTTTGTCAGAGCAATCAATCAAAAGGCATGCAGACAGAATCCAGTAAGTTGGTAGATGGCTTAATTTATATATCTATGTATATGATGAAGTACGTTAATGGCTGCAAGTGTTAATAGATATTCTTGTAGATCTGTACGTTCTCTCTGTAACAGGTTAACGTGTCTGGCAACCAAAAAAAAAAAAAAGATTTTCCTCCCATTTTCTTCTGGCCTATTTATTTTATCTCTCCACAGATTCAAGATCGTCATTGATCTGCAAATTGAGCATAACTATATGCGAAAAGTTTTCCCCATACTTTTTGAACAACGTCATAAAAGTCCTCGTGTTTATCTGATAGACGCTTGGTTGAAGCCTTTCTACCATTATTGTTGAACCCCATAATGCACTTTTCCACTGGTGCAGGTTTGGAGATTGGAGGTTTTTTCTATTATTTATGTCTTTATCTCACTTTTATATCTTCGACTATTCTTTGAAATATTATTATATTTATACTGTTAATTTTAGAAGAAAATATTTTCATTTTTTCATGTACATGACTAATGATGGGAGTGATTTCGATGGGAAAAAAGAAACCATATGTTGATCAAAAATTGAGCAGCAAACTGTTAAAATAGTCTTTGGTTTAGAAGCATTCTCTATTTTTTGATCCGCAGAAACAATTTCACCAAAAGATCTCGATCGAGCATGCGAGCTCAATACGCCGTGTCCATCTCTTTCATCATCCTTCAAATAAATACGAAGGGCACCAATCAGATGAATAACGTATATCTGATGGGTCATGTCAACAAAAGAACTGCTTCATGCTAAGGCAGATCAGTTCCTTCCTGTTAGATGAGAAATTGGCCCTTTAGTGATGTAACCCGTGGAAAGGAACAAATCCTGAGAATGAGGGTGAGGCCCGCAAAATACTCCCTACGTGATTAATAATGTATAAAACCCAATCAATCAATTGAAAAAGCTAAATAATAATTTGATTATAACATGTTACATAATCTCCTTTAGATACCATATGTATATCATCAGATTATTTATCAATCTATAAGTTTAACTTAATTTTAAAAAAGAAGATAAATATCAATATTTAAAGTGATTTAGTTTTTTGATCCCCACAAATTAGTAAGAACCCCAGGAGCATAAATCTTGCATGATGTCCGTCCTCACGTATTAACGTCTCATGTGAATCACTCACCAGATGTACCAGATCCATGAGGACTCGAAACAAAACAGTGTTAGAAAACCTAAGCACAGCAAAGCAGGGTATTAAACCGACGGGAGGAAACAAGACGATATCCAAGGAGAGAGAGGTGGAGCATCACGTTGTAATTTGATCAACAACAAACATCTACAAACCAGCCTACATGGAGAAATTCCATATACAGCCTACAAGTGCCTTGGACTTGGACCTAGGTAGATCAAATGACATTTGTAAACAAAACTAAAAATCGATATGAACACCTAGTTCACTATCCACTAGTCTGACTAAAGCCGAAATGGCAAGAATCTGCATTCCTAGGTTCCCTATTATAAATATACACATCTATGCTGGGCTTGGGTGTATCTCGGTCTTCATATAATTGTGGGAATACTGAGCTGCGCCATCGCAGGTTTGCAGCAGCATCCTTCAGCCTTGATTATTCCCTGTTCAGTGAGTTGGTCAGTTATGATATAAAGCGGATTCAACAAGCTTCAAAAGCAGTGCCCATCACCAAAAATTGAGATTCTCGCGTAAGGATCCTCACCCCTAGAAGCATTACGATTCTGGTTTTTGTGACTCTTCTCGTGCGAAACAGAAGGAATCTTTGAGATGATTAAAGAACTCTGTAACCCTTCCAATAGCTGCCACCCCAAAGCCGGTCACAACAGGCAAAGATGACGACAAAAATATATTAAATACAGAAAATTATTTTTTAGCAGTGCAAAGTTAAAAGATGGCTCACTTTCACACTTCCAAGAATGACAAAACATGAAAGCCAATTTGTTAAATGCAACGTGGCAAAATCTAATTTCAGCACTAGAACAAAACACATGAAATACTTACTCTTGATGTTGGTTGGATCCTGCGATTGGATCTACGAGGTTCAGCAGTTTCAGCTGTTAGTTTTTCCTCCTCTATCTTACCCAACTTTCCACCAGCAGGGGCAAGTTTTCCTTTACTTGCTCTTGATGTGGTTGTCCTGCTAGAGGAAGGAGCATCAGATGAGGCTGCCAACGGAGGATACAAGATTGGTCCCTCAGCTGCTCCATCATTTGCAGAGTAGGATGCCATCTCCACACGGTTTTCACTCTCAGATGCATTCTTATAATGGCTTGCAGAGTCTTTGGTCTTTTGTGTATGATCTGTCGAATCATTGGGGAGAGGAAAGGCATCTGCTGAAGGATTGTCTTTTGACAGGATTGGTTTACCCAGAACACCAGGCTTTCCAGACTTAACGGATTTGGACTTGGAATTGGCTCCTCGTTTCTCCTTTGTATCATTCTTGGCATTATTTTTCCATCCTCGAAATGATGGACCTTGAGGCATCAAGAAATTTGCAAGTTTAACTGAATCATTTCCATCATTAACCTTATCACTCCTATCTGCAACATAATGTTTGCTAACTTCCATAAATTTCCTCTTCTTCCCAGGTTTAGGAACACCAAAGATCACTCTTGATCCTTCTTTCTGAAGACCAGTTCTTGGCATTCTTTGTGTATCAGTTTTAACATCATTCTTGCTGTTCTTACCAATGTTAAACACTTTCTCTTTTTCTGTCAAATCAAGCAATCGCAATTCATTAGGGTTTGTCAGATCCACATCCTCAATGTTCTTTAACATCTTATCCTTCCCTTTTGCCTCTACCATAGGACTACCCAACTTGGCTCGTTTTTCACGTGGTGTATCGCCCTGCATGCAAAATCTTAAGCTCAGAACAGGCAAGCATTAATCATTAAATATTGATCAATTCCCCATTGGAAGATGTAAGAAAAATACCTCATGGGAAGAATTAACATTTGCTCCTAAGCTGGAATATTCAATCCATTTCCCATCCTTCCAAATAAGGGATGATCTAACTTGCCAAGATCTGACAACTGCTGTTTCTCCACGAGCTGCAGAGAATCAATTGGATTATTAATTTTCAAGCACAGTATAATTGCTAAGAACATGAAACACTAGTGTTCAATCAAATCATTTCTATACCAGGAAAGTCAACAGTTATTTCATCTTTCTTGTTATCCTTTACAATTCCTTCCTGCCAGCTGATAATAAAATGTGCCAAATGTGAGATCATAATACCAAGAAAATATGCACAACTTAATGAGAGGGTTAAAGCATTACAAGAACTATAACAAGAGATTGCAACAAGACAAAAAGATTGTGAAACCAAATAGGTGATATCAACGTGGACTTAGCCTAGCTTAACAAGATTTGAAGGTTAGACAAAATTAAAGGTAAAATCAGGATGAGTTACATCTCTGGATGATAGATCTCTCAAGGGGCACTTCTCCAACGTGAGTTTAAGTGCAGTTTAAAATATGCAAGTTCTAGGCGTTATCATGACAAATAATGATGAAAAATTATTCCCTTCTCGAGTATTAAAAAATCTTGTGATCCTATGAATGAAACAGAAGATTCAGATACACACACACACACACACACACACACACACATATATCCGGAAACAATTATTCTTAAAAAAAAAAAATCATCCTATAAAAAATCATTCCTTTGTTGAATATATATCACTTTCATTGCACCCAATTAATTAACAAGTGTCAAATAAGCGGAACCTTGGAAAGATTTTGTAGCATTCATACGAATAAGACCTCCCCCAACACACTATTACCATCAGCTTCTATCTCATAACCAATTGTTTATGCATTTCAACAGGCTGTCTTGTAACCATAATCCATCAAATGTCAATTACAAATGACTACCAAGACTAATTTCAGATGGCTGTACCTTTCTTGTATCCATACATCAACTCTATCCCCAACAGACCAAGCATTATCTCTAGTAGCTGCTCTACGTCTCTTCCTCGTTCCTTCATAACTTGTACCAGCTAGAGGACGGGCAACGCGTATTCTGGGTGGCTTCTCTCCTTCACTTTCTAATGGAACCCATTCCTTCAAAGGCCCTGCACCTAGGAAGCAGAAATTTTCTCATTAACACAATAAATGAATTCACAAAGTAATGGCCAATTACTTGATCTTAATGAAAGCTGGCTTTTTTGTTTGGGGGGGGGGGGGATCCTAACGTAGTAAACCAAGGACCAAATTACTGAACCTATGACGAACACCTTCAATCAGTAGCAAAGGCATGTTATAAGGTTTAATGTAGTAAATTTTACATTGCAAATTTCCTTTTCAAGAGTACCGAAATTAGTTTTAATCTTAAACACAAAAAGCCCTAGTCCATCACTCCATCAAAAGTCACACAAATAGTCAAGATTTTAATGAAAAAGTCGCGTGGTTTTGTGGTCAAGTAGTTAATATAGGAAGCCACACTATTCATAATTCATGAACAGTGCAGTTTCCTCAGACAATCTAATGCTTGATGAAGTACAAGGATGCTTGACTAACCTCCGTCAGCTACAAGAACAGAGTAGCAAACATAAGCTTTTCCATCTTTCAAACTTAAAACGTTCGCTGTGAACCATGCAGCTTGACATCCCTCTCCTCCATCTTTGAAAACCTGCAATATAATTGCTTCGATGTAAAAAGACAATCTAACAGCAACACTACAAGATTTTTATGAGACCCATGACCTAATATGATGAGTAAAACCGAAGGGAATTAATGTGGCCACTTCAATTAAATAAACTAGATTACAAAAATTCCTGATAACAACCTCTACAGGTGACCCCTCCTTGATGTTGTTCTCCCCCAGCCTTTCAGATACATTTGCAACAGGGAGAGAAGGATCATGCATTTCAATCTCAGATTCTGAAACCAAACAAATGGGATTGACAGAGTCAGAAACATTGCAACCCCTTGGTCCAATTGAAATCTTTTCAATGGTGTCAGTGGATTTAGAATTACCATCCAGGGTTCTCGTACGGTCCTCTGATCTCTCATTATACACCTTACGAAGAGGTGACTTCTCACCTGCAGCAATCTGAATCCCCACTCCATCAGATGGAATGCTTCTGGCAAGTGTACGAGAAATTGTGACATCGTCTCCAACATTGTCAATGCTCAATGAACCTCTAGTCTTGCCTTTTGATGATCCAACTTGCTGACGAGAGTTGCGTGATGCTTCCCAGCAACCCTGTGGACCAGCTTCTAGCAAGTCACTTATATGCAGAGGATCACCCATAGTTACAATCTTTCCTGCTTGTGATACAGCTTCAGCTGCCAGCTCGGCAGCCTTAACAATGGCATCCATATTTTCAGCTTGTTTTGCAGCAGCTGATGCAGCTTCCACTCTCCTTCTGGCAGCCTCCTTTGCAACAACAATAATAGAGCCAGAGCTGCTGGTTCCGTTAGGACCCTTCAATATGGATGCAGGAGTAGCTTTTCCCAGGTTTTTAATACCCTCAGAATGAGAGATCCCATTACTTTGGGAGGTACCCTCCTTACTAGATGAGGTCAATGCTTCTTCAGCCATAAGTTTTGCTTGCAATGCAGCATTTGAGGCAACTTTGGCAGCTGCAGCTGCTGCCTTTGCAACAGCAGCTGCTGCTGCAACTGTAACCGCTGCAGAAGCTAACTCTGCCTCAATAACAGGCACCAATCCAGAATTTTTCTGCTTATCCAGCTGGGTCCATATCTCGAGGCTGTGGTTCACAGCAGCTGCAGAAAGAGCAGCAGCTTCCTCTGCATGAGCACCAGCCTCCTTAACTTTTGTGAGGGACTCATCTGACAGAAACCTCTTCTCAATATTACGATCAATTTTGAGGTGATCAGCAGGAGATAGAGAGGGCAGAGACACAGTAGTTTTGGGCAAACTCCCAACAGTGGGGGCTAGAACAGCAGAAGTGGATACATGAGAACTAACAACAGGATTCAGCTCTAGTTGAGATTGTGTTTGCAAAGCCTTCTGGCCAAGATCTTCAGATACCATAGCCTTCTTTCTTTTTTTAGGCTTAGGATCAGAAGAATGCTGAGGTGATACTGTTACATTGCTGGTATCATGCAGAGGGGCAGTCCCTACAAAGATACTCTGTGGAGCTGCACTGGAAGATGGAAGCGCTGGAGTAACAGGTTTTATACCACTGGAAGGAGGCAAAGAAGATCCCTTGAATGAATTAAATTTAACTGAATCTGAAATAGGTGACGCAGAAATCAGGGAATTGGTATCAGGAGCAGAAGCAGGAGCAGGGGATCCAATCCATGGTCCACGAACAGGTGCCTGGGATATCCAAGATGTGTTATGTCCAAGAATGTTCCTCAGAGGTGGAGTTTGATAAGGATGCAAAGAAGAAGGTACCCGTGGATAATCCAAAACAGATCCCCTTATGAGTGCACCGGGTTGCAGTGAATCAGATGGAGTTGGTAAATTCCAAAGAGGAGATGAAAGAGGTATTAAAGGGTTTACAACTGCTGGAGTAGCCTTGCTGTTGGATCGACCAAGAGGAGAGGAGATGCCCTTACTTTGATGTGAACCTTGCCTAGCCAATTCAGAGGCTCTAGGACCTGCAGATTCTAAATCTCAAAAGTTACCTCCTATCAACTCAGGAAAAAAGAAAAAGCAGATTAAAAATAACAAGGTATACCAGATCGTGATTGTACAGGAGTTTCTGGGTTCGTTAGAAGAGACTTTTGACCATGCTGCCTTTCTACACACACACGCCAAGCATTCTCCCAGAGGCTTCTTCCACCATCTAAGCATAAAATTTACAGTAAATCCATTATTTCAAATGAAGGACTAAAGGAAACGAGCAGAGGGAGGCCATGATAAAGAAACTAACCTGGACCTCCAAATGCTGATATCATGTAAGCCTCATCAGGTGCTGTGCCTTGACTGCAGCAATATTAATTGTGGGAATAATAGGATCAAGTGATTAATAAACTGGAAGTTCTAAAACATTCTTTAGTTGGTAATATTAACAAGCTGCCTAAATATTTATTACTAATTCAGGACAAGCACAGTGGTGGAATGAGAATGGTATAAACTCAGCATAACACTCAAAAATGAAAGATTAACAATAGAACGGAACAAGTAATTCCCATTTTTCATATACACGGGAGTGGGTGTGTCAGATTTTGGCATAGAACAAGGATTGTTTGATAAAACACATTGATTCAAGAGCAGTTATGGACATCTCATTCATGTAGCTCCATCACAACTAAATAGCAAACATTTGAACTCACATTAAAGCTCCATAAACAAAGATCTGTGCACGCAATTGTATCTGCTGTAGATCTGTGAAAGGTTGTTGAAACAGTACAGGAGCAGAAGCAGAGGTGTTCAAATCTGGAAGACTAGATGTTGAAGCGTTTAGCAGAGCAAACGGCTTTGCACTGCCAGAATCTATATGGCCATACTGCAGCATCTCATTGGATTGCATCAACTGGAAACCAGGGGGTGAGCTGAGCTTTGCATTATTTGATTTATCCACTCTCTCAGGTTGTCTTGACGGAGGTGTTTCTTTCACATGACTCGCTTTTCTAGAAGATTCCTTTCCAGCATTCTTATTAGATGCTCGTCTGGTTTTACGCTGAGATGTACTTTTGGGAACACTACGTGCTATCTCTCCATCAGAAATTTGTGGACTTCCATGGGAAGCATCTGCAGTTTTGATTTTCAAAGGATCTAACCTAGATGGAGATACCTCCACAATCTTCAATTAGGAAAAGGAGAGAAAAAAAGTTAGAGTCCAACTACAGAATCAAAACTGAAAGAACTGAAAGAAGACTTACTGTCGATGCTTTGCTGGCTGTAGCAGCCGGAACCGGCTGGCTATTCCCAACATCCTTTGTAGCTGAACCTCCAGCATTTTTTTTGGACAAATCAGCCTCTGCATTTAACTCAGAAGTCAAGCTTCCCTTATCTTTAGATGCGTCATTTCCCTTCAAGTTATCATCAATCAATAGCAGATTAGTTGCATCTCTATTGATAAGCTCAGAAACGGGGGGATTCTGATTGCCATCCTTCTCAGTTTCAGAAGACCTTCCAACTGTAATAGATGCACTGCATGTATTATCAGCAGGATAGGCACGACAGCCCACAGTCTCATGCAACTCAACATGAGAATCAGACAAAGGAGCAGAAGACACACAACCTTGATTTGAAAGTAACATGTCTCCTGCAGGATAATACCATTAAAAGATTTGATAACATTTGAATGAATGTTAAGACAATACGTATACAAGATTCACATCACAAAAATAAACCACTCAGCATCATAGATATTGATTACCATCCAACAAAGTTACCATCTGATAGAAACTATTTATAGGGTCAAGTTACATTCAGCACCCTAAAGTATTTTTCCATACAGTATCTACAATAATTTTGATGCTGGAAATATCCTTTCCCAGTAGCACTCTATCTTAAAAGTAGGTTTTGATGAATTCAGCATCCCAATATACTTTTCAAGCAGCACTCAATATCCTAAGTTTAGGGTGGTCAGAGAAAACATTTTAAGGGTAAAGTTGCACCAAAAATTACTTCAGGGGATACTGGATGCAACTAAAGGATACTGAATGCACAAAAAACTATTGGTGCTGGATGCAACTTAGCCCTTATTTATAAAATGAATTGCAACTCCTTAAACAAAGGAGGAAGTAGGCAGAGAATCCAATTACAGAGCTACGAAATGGTATGAAAAAGAAAATGAACACACAACTCTGGGCTTTACAGAAACAAGGTTCCCTCCCAACTTCTGCCTAAAATACTCAGTGTCTAGCAGCTACCAGCCCTGCCAAAATATCCCCTGAACACCCCACCCCATCCAAACGAGAAGCAGCAAAAATGCATTACCCACAAGGGTAGTTACTCAGATAATTCTCTATTCAACATCTCCTCTGCCGCCTCTCTCTCCCATGTTCCCATGGGACTTAATTTTCTTTCTCCTCTCATCAATTTGTGCCCATAGCCCATATAGTGTTTCCCTGGGTGTTGTTTCCATTGTTCACATAGCCATTGTATACCATTAACACAGGGTCCATCAGTTCATTTCCCAGCAAGTCTCACCTTGTCCATAAGGTTAAAGGTGGGAACATGTACTACGATAATTTTAACAACCCCCCCCCCCCAAAAAAAAGGGGGGGGGTACTATCACAAGCAGGGAGTCGTTCCCATTTCATTAGGGCATGCAATATCCAATGAATGAACTTCGATACACTGAATTAACTTCTGTACTTCTAGATCGTCCATAGAGGTGCAGTGTGAATCTCCCAATATAAAACTAAAGGTTAATAAGATGTCCTACAATAATTTTATAGTTTGACATCTGACAAACCAATAATAGATGTCAAACCAATAAGGAGATCACATGTCACAGTCATAAGCAGATCAGCCAAGCGTTCTGCCAGTAAAGAAAACCAATAATTTGCCATTTGTTCAGAAAAAAATTAAATTGACCCACAGGCACTAAGGGGAGTAGAGAAAAACGGTACATCTTTTGAAGCAAATTCCCATGACACTCAGAAGAATCATGACATGCCATTATTGACAAGAGACACTGTTTATATGCTAACATCATTTTAAAACATGATTTAACGTGCAAGATTCTTATAAAAACACTCAATTGGAGAAAACTGAAGAATCTGAGTATTTGGTGCTATGAAGAATGCCAATAGTAACAAGTAACACATCAACAATAAATCAAAATGGAACTCAAAAGTGGACAGACTATTAAATCACCTGAAATTTTCGAGTGTGGGTTTACTTCATCCTGTTTTGCTGCCAGTTTGGGTAGAGATGGAGAGGCATCCATTTCTTTTGCGGACTCCTGATTACGATTAATTGTTTTTAGAGGCTCACTAACATTTCCAATGGCACAAGTCTCTACATTCTTTGTACAGCTTTCTACTGTCTCACAAGACAGTTGTCTAGAAGTACCACAAGACTGGTGCTCCGTTCCAATAACTGGGCAAGGAACAGTTCCCAGTTCAGAAGACACGACAGGAGTAGATAAGTGTGCTTCCTCAGCAACTCTGGGATCAGACTCTTCCTTTTTTACAACAGGATTGGACCCAGCAGGAGAAGTCTTCCTCTGAACACCATTTTGATCTACGACTTTCTGGGTGGAAACATTGCAAGAAGATTGAACATCCACTGTACCACATGATGCGAAAGAAACATCTACTAAAGCTTCTGAAGCTGAAAGATAGCAAAGCAAAGACAACTTTAAGCTAGATCCTATATGGTATGAAAGACTAACCATCCTTTTCTAGATTCTACAAGGTATGAAAAACTAACCATCCTTTTCTAAGTAATTATAAAATTATGGCATACCTGAATTATCAATTGCTGTGACGTCAGCTGATACTGAGGAAGTTGATAACCCAGTTTCCATGCCACCGGGGCTAACAGAGGATGAACCAATTCCTTTATCAACAAGATGGACCTTATCAGCATCACAATTTATTGGGCTACAGTCAGAAGGAGCCCTTGTAAAATCTTGGTCCACATTAGGCATATCTTGACGAAGTTTTTTGTCATCCAGCTTGCCAGCTTCACTGCCCTCACGTACTGAAGTTGATTCACCCAAAATGCAAGATTTTGTCGACCCCATGCTGGAACAAGAAATGCCTTCTACCTTGCTATTATCATGTTCATTAGTTTTAGAAATGTCACTGCCCTCCACAGTTAAAATAGGTGCCTCTACCTCGCTTACGGAAACCTCCATATCCATTTCATGGCCAGTGTTCAGTGATTCCTTTTCCTTAGCAGAAGTGCCCTCACCATGTGTCTTCTTTTCAACAGAATCCACACCCTGCTGGAGACTAGGAGAAATCCCACAATTGGAATTATTTATCTCAGTTACTTCCCCAAAACCAGTATTGCCTTTAACTTCAACCTTTGGAGAGTTGTGTGCAATTAGTGCAGACTGATCATCTTTCATTACATCTTTAACTGCATTTTCACCTGCACTGTCCAGACATGGATTACTAGAAATTATATTCTCGCTACATCTTTCTTCCTTCTGCAAGTCTGAAACATTGCTTGGTACCATGCTTAAGGAGCCATCCACATTAGTTAAGCAAGGATCAAGTCCCTTAACCACACTTCCACCATTCAAAGCTTCTTCAGATGCCGAACAAAGAGAATTATCGGGATTATGTGCATCAGTCCCAACTGCATATCCATCTAAAGCCTGTGTGTCTACATTAGTATCTTTGTTAAATGTGTAAGATTCTGTATCTTGCCTATCAGTTTCAGCTGTCAAACCACCTTGCCGCTCACCACTAACACCAACTACCTGATTTTGTGCATGTTGAACATCTAATGAATCGGAAGTAGCAGATATATTTTGCACGGGTGCTTCGGTAATACTAGTTTGTAGTTCCCCAGAAGCAGATGAATCATCTAGAATCTTATCACTCAATGAGTCATCACCCACAGTTTCAACTTCTTGTTGGTTTTCATTTTTACCTTTCATATCAGTAAAACGAATTCCCTCAGACTGAGGCAGGTTAATATTTTTGCAAATATCGCTTAGTTCCAGATTGCCTGAACTCCCATCAAAAGATAATTCATTTTCCTGGGCTTGGGAAACTCCAACGTGAGGTTCATCTTCTCTTTCATTTTTCTTCAATCCAGACGCATCTTCATGTATGTTATCAGATAACTTTAGACCTGCAACATCTCGAGATTCATTTTTACCATCAGTTTTCAGATTAGATTCCATTTGCTTAGCTAAGCACGCCAGTTCATTACAGGCATCTGATTCCTGAATAACAGATTGTCTAGGAATAAATTCCTCCTGCCCAACAGATTTTAATAGCATTTCAACGGACTCTGAGGAGGTGGCCTCAGACCAGACATTGTTATGCCTTGATATAGAACAAGATTCAGCCGCAGTTGAACTAAACCCTATGCCGCTACTGCCTCGAGAGAATGCGTCAATCCACTGATTATCTTCGTTGCTTTCAATGCCAAGAAAAACTTCAGTTTCAACCAAATTATCAAATCTTGATTGTCCTTGAAGGCTTTCATCAAAATCAAATTTGGGCAGAGCATATGGCCTTAATACTGGAGGAAATTTGGTGCTCCCTTCACCAGCTAAATGAAGATTCTGGCTTTGAAAATCATTGTCGTCATAATCCATGGGTATATCCCTGAAAAAAAAAATACACAAGAAAAAATGAGAAAGAAAGGGACCTGCGAGAGGATTGTGAGACGGAGCACTTCAAGGAATCTCTCCTTTCTATCACAAATGATATGGGATAGAATTGTAGAACCACACTTCAGTGCTTGAAGCATGGTGTTTCAAATGAGTCCCTATTCCTGATATGTGGAGAAATTGAAAATCCCTGCTCACTTTTTTTGAACCTCTTTGGCCTTTTCTTCCTTCCTTAGTTTTTTCCTTTATGAAGGAGATCTGACAGCCTAATTTAGTGTATTTCTCTTTCTTTTAATTTGATGAGGTTCCATTAACCCAAAAAAAAAAAAAGGGAAAAAAAATGAAAGCACACATGCATTCAGACAGATGCCCGAATAGACGTTCAATGGACCAATCATGCGGACGTATACGCATCCATCAAACACACATCAGCGAGCAAGTTGTACATGCATAGACACAGACACACGCAGACAGAAATGCAATAATTTAAATTAAAATTTGAACAATAAATAAGCAACCGACATGACTCAGGGCAACTTGAAACCCCAGCATATCCAAACAGGAAACAAAACTCAGGTTTTATCATTTCAATCATTACCCAATATTTCAAAATGCCAATGCCACTTGCAAATATGCTCATCAAACAATGCTAAAATGAAGGAAAATATAATTAGGTGGCCCAAGAAGCTACTTTATTCCAAGCAGTACATTAAATATATATTATCCAAAAGTTAACAAATTTTGGAAATAGACAAGGAATCCAGTGCCTTGTGCGTGGAGGATGTCAACATGTTAAAACAGAAGCGCGAGAAAAGGAAATCATTATTCCAATAATGAGTACAATACAACAAGCAGTTTTGTGTTTACAAGCCCAAAAATATATATGTATAAATATAAATGAACTTCAACCAAAACTTAGTAAACCCTTTCGTAGAGATAAAATTATAGAGAACCAATCTTCCCAGAGGATCGAACAAGCGTAATCCTTTAACAGACACCCTTAAAAACCAATTAGTCAGTGAAAATGTGAGAAATATTAAACATTTTTGGACGAATGCCATTTCAGATCAAAGGAAGCCAAAGCAACCATTTGAAATCAAAGCCCACCATTTCAAAGCAACGGAAGTAATATCTCTGCCGAGAAAATAGAATAAAAAAGTACCCTATATCTCATAAAAGTTGGACATGAACAGTACCAGAACAAGTAAGTCTAAAGACGCTACCTCCCTCCATCCGGCGAGGAAATCCAGCCCGTTTGATCTCAGCTAGTCCCCAATCGTTCAGTCATCGACTACTTAAAAAACAATTCTTTGTCAGTAATTACAACCCTCTCTCTCCTCAACAAAACACAAAACCCAGTAAACAGACCCCCACCAGAGTCAATTTAAACCCCAACAAACAATTACCGTCTGCTTGGAGTCCCGGCGGATCGAACTAGGGTTCCGACGTTGAAAGAGACAGAGTAGTCAGAGGAAGCTGCAACAACACGATGGCACAAAGAGTGTGGGGTACTTTCTCAGTGGCCTTTTTTCCCCTTAATTCCTTCTTCAGTCCTTCTTCCTCCTTAGCCGAAGAAAAAGCACTTCGATTTTTGTTTTTTTCCCACCGAAGAGAAAACGAGAGTCTGAGAAGAAGATCGAAAACGAAAAGGTGCGCTGGCTCATAAACAATGAGAATCGAACGGGTATAAAGCTCGACGAGTATCCGGCTTGACACGTGGGCGGTCTTGATTCGCAGGTTGAAAGTATCAAGCTTGGAGAATCAAAATCGCAGGGCGTGGAAAACCTTGTTCGGTTTTCGCTGGTTATTGGTTAATTTTTTCTGGGGAGGGGCAAATTGGTAAAGTTAGTTAGGTGAGTGATCAGTTCAAGAATGGAAACTCGTTTTAACATTTTCGTGCTAATAAAATATTCTTAAATAAAGTCATGTTTTAGTTGGACACGTGGCTTTCTAGTTCGGTCTAGTCGAACGAACTTACAAGCATATCTGAGCACCAAATATTATCCGTAAGGTAACCATGACTCTGAACCGTTGGATCATATACGCGGCTCAGATTAGTCGCTTCGTATATTCTTATTTCCCGGCACCACTGGAATGGGCGGATGACAAAATATCCGGCAAAACAGTGTCATGACAGTTAGGTCTCTGGATATTTTCTAAAATTACCTTTTTTTTAAGTGATTTTACTGTCTTCAGAATTTTTTTTTTTAAAAAAAAAAACTCCTTCCATGCCATTGGGCAATGAGGCTCTCCAATGATCAAAAGATTAGGAGCGTACATGAACAAATCAGATTGGGCTAATCATCAACTCATCCAAAGAAGAAGTCACATTGAAGCAGACAACTCATAGCCATGATCCAATCTAATATAGTGCTAACCTAAGGTTGCTTGGATCAGATATGATCCACTGTGCATTTGAACTAACGAGGGGAGTTCAAGACCTCGATTTGTTTCTTTTTGTTATTTTCCCCTATACGGGAGGCAATATTTTAATTAATTCAAATAGTTAACAGTACATATAATCATATAAAAACTCATGCAAAACATTAAGATCTAATCATAAATTCATAAAAATGTTCAACAACATTTAGCAACAACAAAACCTCTAACTATATTGAAAAAAATTTCACCCAAACCAAACCGAACAAGACTGAGTGTCTAATCAGTTAGTTTAAAACTTTTTTTTAAAAAAAAGTTTAGGTGAGTTGAATCCCAAGAACTCATTAGGGTCAGGGCATGCCTCAAGGTTTAAAGAACGCTTATAGAGGTACTTACAAATCGCCTACTAACAAGGTTTAGAACTTGATCCAGCAGAGCTAGCTAGCTAGCATAATCTAATTTGGTCTAATTTTGTTATCAGGCTTGCTTTTACATGACTGAATCACCTTGAGTTAGACTAGTTTAGATTAAACTATTGAGATTTTACATACCCTACATAGAATTATTAGGAAAGGGGGGGGTGATAAATCATTATATTTTTGTTGTTTTACTTGCTTGATATTAGCTTTTGACCCTCATTTCATGCTTTTGAGTTCAATTGACAAAATTTGTGTTTGATGATATAATTGACTAATTTCTAGATTATTTCATATTTTTAACGATTTTATTAATTAGTTTATAATTCTCAAATTTTTGTTTAGCTAGTTATGTATTTAATTTTCATGTGTAAGTGATAAGAATTAAGTGTGCGCGACCAAAGGCAATTGATCACTTGCAATGAAAGAGGTTATGTGGTGCCATCTAGGGGCTCTCGTGGAGAGAGTTCAATCTAACGATGGAGGTTGCATATAAGCAAGGAGAAGGTGTTTACTATTTAGGGACGTGGAGTGTATTTATTTTCATTTTTATTTCTTTTTAATTTAATTCTCTTGTATAAAATGTATCTAGTAGATTCGAACTTCATGTATCGTATCCTTTTTATTTTTCATTTCTAATTTCTTCATTTCCTCTTCTTACTATCAAGTGGCGAAATTCACCCTCATTTATGTATTTCAACTCTAATTTTTTTTGCTATAAACAAGCACAGGTATACCTTTTATTATAGAGAATCATATTCAAGAACACTAAATATAAGCACTTTCATCGGCAGAAATTTAACCATTAATTCGCTACGTTGTAGAGGACTAACTCCTTCGGTAAAATCTAAATTCTATTGGCTAATTTTTACTAAATCTCAATATTGAAATTATCATCATCCCAGGACTACTGTTTCTCTTTTAGGACCTAAATTTCCTTGGGATCATCTTCATTTTACATGTGTCGGAGTGTAAAGTTTTCTCTCCTCTTTCTTCTTAGGTCACCATTTTTCATCTTTTTCATCTCCTTTATTTTCCATGCATTTTCTCTTCATTTCTTAAATCTTAATTTTTAGTCCTTATTGTTAGGCATAAAGACCAAAATAAAACTAATTAAAAATAGGGAGATCAAAACCAAAACTAATCTAATTCCTTTCGCTTTACACTTCAATTTCCATATTATTTTTTTATAATTAGAGTCAAACCACTTTATTGCCTAGTAAAACTTAATTTCCAACACAAATCAAGTTTACCATGTTGTGTATTTGTCCAAAGAAAGCGCATAAGCATGTTTTTTTTCATGCATGTCTGTTAAAGTCAAGCTTGTGATTTTGATGGGCACATTTTTCAGGGATAAGGAAATAGTAATGAGTCCTTATCACTCATGTTCAGATGGATGATAATCACAATTCTAATGTTGTCAAATGTATTTGAGAGAATTATAATAAGGTTCTAAGAAAATAAAATAATTATTAAAAAATTCCAATAACCTAAACTGCCTGTAATAATAAGTTTTAGAGTAGAAAATAATTACTTTTGAGACTTATTTTGTCATTATTTTCTTTTTTTAAGGACGTCATTGTAATTTTTCCAATGTATTTTTTTAGATACGTCTATAAAAAAAAGAAAATTGTCAAACGTCTTGTATCTTATTAAAAAAAATTAAGTTATATTTTTCCCTGCGAAGAAAAAAATTTATTTCTTAAAGTTTGGGGCGGATGCTAAATACCTCTGGTATAATGAACTATGAATTTCTCGAATAATAGAGGGCGGATGCTAAATTTCCTTTCATGCAAGGCAATATTTCTTTTGTGCCAAATGGTGTTTGTATATTTTGGTGAAACTGATATTTGGTATTACTCCTCCTATTCTTAATATAAGATTCATTTAACTAATTTGATTAGATTAAAGAAGTTAGGTAAGTTAGTTAATTATAAAAAAAGTGACACATTTTTCCTAAAACACCATAATCATCTTTCTTAATACTCTCTCTCCCTCTTCTACTTGATTATGGTTGATAGAGTATCTATAAGGGTAACTTAGAGAAAACTGATAAATATAAGAAATAGATATTATATTTAGAATCAAAACCAACTCAAGAACTGAGTCATATATTGAGGACCGGAGGAGTATTTTGTAGCCAAGACTCAAATTTGTAAAAATTGTAATAATGGAAATAAATAGAAAAACTGCCAAATCAGATGACAGGTACATATTGACAAGTGCCGAAAAGATGTTGAAAGGATTCTCCTTGTTGACGCCCAAAGAGACAAGGGCCAGAGATATTGATGACTTTTGAAGACCTCATAAGCGGGCTAGGCGTCATGGAGCAATTTCCAGATTAGGAATATCTGTTTGAAGGGAAGGAAGCCAGACCATAAAAATTTAAACAAAAAAAAAAAGGAAATCCATTGGTCTAGAATCAGAGGAAAGGCTTTGAAAAGAAATCTAGGAAAAGTAATGTCCTTGATGATATTTCAGGTGCTCAGCTTTGAGCTTGTACATATTTTGAGGTTTTTTTTTTTTAGTAAGTATTTTATTTTTGCTAGCATAGGTATTTTCTATTAGAGACAATCATTTTAGAGATATTATTAATAAAGTTGGTAATACGAGCCAACCTATCAAGATACGGGTTACTTTAGCTCGCAATGTCTTGAGCCTGCATTTAAAAAAAAAAAATCAATCATCACAGCATTATGTTATCCACGCAACTACCCAGTTCAAGTTCAACTTCAACATTTTACACTTTAAAGCCCAATTACAGTACCCAAGTTGGCTGGGCATATTGGATAGGAACCAAGTTTGAGTTGTTTTGATGTTTTGATAAAACTGACAGTTTTCGGTTAAACAAAAATATGCGTTGATCTACCGGACCATATATTTCTGAGCATCAACCTTAAATAATATTGGGCCTGTTACCTGGATTTTTAGGCCTCTTTACAAAATTACAAGCCCACTGGTCCAAATTTTATGAAAGGTGGTTTTTGGGGATATATCGATTATTATACTAGGTAATATTTGACCTTTTTTTTTTCCCGGCCAACAACGTGAAATAAAAATGGAAAAATGACCCCAAAAAAACAACCTTGAATATATGAGATACCAATTTGGGAAGCTAACACTGCATAATGCCAGTGCCAAAATGAGAGAAAAATATAAATTATCATTTTAAAATTAAAGTGAAATGATAAAAATACATTTTATTTTATTTTTTTTAAAAAAAAACCAACCCCTCTCCGACCATCACCGAAACTGGCGAGGTGGCTACCGATGAGATTGGATCCCATCACCCCATGCTGGTCTGGGCCAAAGTATGGTATAACCATTATGCCATCAGTGTTTTGCTTATGGGTATTGATTATATCTCAATAGATATTAACAACTTTCAATTAAAAAATAACAAGCCACTTTTCAATTTATTGGCAACTTTTATATAGGTATTGACTATATTTCATTAGGAACTAGCAACTTCAATTAAGAAATAGTATCGTTTAGCAACTTTTAAATTGAGATTAACAAGTTGTTTTTTTTCTAGTATCAAGATTTACAAAACTGGGAAACACTAGTGTCTTCACGAAATGCTTACAATTGGTTTGGAAATAATAACATTACAACAAATTTTAACAACTTTTAAATTAAAATTAACAAGTTTTTTTTTTCCAAAATCAAAAGTTAACAAATTGGAAATAAAACTAGCCTCTTCATAAAATGCTTACAATTGAGTTGGAAATAACAAAATCACAATACATTTTAACAACTTTCAAATTAAAATTAACAAGTTTTTTTTCCTTAACATCAAGACTTAGCAAATTCCTACGACTTACTTTGTCCTAAATGTAAGAGCTAGTTACGTTGGAGATTCAACTTGGTTCCAAATATAATATTCTAATTCACTTGTCTTCTATATTTATTTATTTATTTATTTCTAATATAGTCTTTATAATGATTATACATGTTAAAATGTTTCCATTCTAGTACAGATGATTAACAAAGGTATTTTAAAAAGGTAATATTTATTTATTATAAATAATTAGCTTAACTAATTTTTTTTAAATATTTACTAATTAGTTATCTGACTCTTATATTAAACACCAAAATTAGCATATTATATGTCATCTCATGATCCAAATATTGCGATTTTGGGCTTTTGGCTGACAAAATATGGAAAGATTCTCTCTGTTTTCCATCCTAATGCGGAAGGCATATGAGATTTCCCATTTCTGTTTTGGCTGGCACAATCTTTGTTGTATACATAGCAACATGTGACTTGCTCGATGATCATCTACATATTAGTGCTGCATTAAACAGCTGTTTTTTTATAATTATTTTAATGCTCAACCCAAAAAACCTTTAACGAATAGGTGTATAATAACGATAGTTTTCAATTAATTACGATAGTTTTCAATGGAAATAATTAAACAAAAATTTTTAGAGCTTGCAACCCTTGAGATAGAATTTTTTTTAAAAAATTAATATACATTTATCATTAAAAAATAATTATTTAATTTCTAGTGACTAAGTATTAAGTAGTATGTGACATGTGTGAGAATATTCCAACGAACAGTTTAATTATATATAAGGAGTAAAAAATCAGAATGAACATTAAATTAGTTGAGATAGTGATTCAAAGTCAGCATATCAAACTAGGATCAATTCAAAATTAAATCGATCATATTAAAATAATATAATTTAATTAAAAATAACAAAATATAATAAAATTAGTAATTATTAATAACAAAATACAAGAAAATACAACAATAATATAATTGTAACAATATCAAAGTATAATAACATTGAGAATATTTATATTTATGATTTCTCAATAAATAAAATTAATAGTCGTTCTCAATAAATAAAATTAATAATCGTTAATGTCAAAATTATTATTAAAATTTATTCAAATTTATAGTAACTGAAATATTTGGAATTAAATAAAAAAATAGAACTAATAATAATAATATAATCATTCAAACTGGTTCATTATTGATTTTTGCCGATTTAACATAACCATCTTGATACCGGTTTAATTTTTACTAGGTTCAGCATTTAAATTAGATCAAACCATTTTGGTCAGTTTGATTTGGTCTTTCAATTGAGGGTCCGTTTGGATCAGCGATTGGAAAAGCAGCTTAAAAAAAAGTAGCTTATGGAAAAGTGAAGTTGGTAAAAGTTAAATTGGATAAGTTGAATTGTGTTTGGATTGGAGTTCAGACAAGCTAGTTTAGAAAAATGAGATTGGAAAAAGCTTGTTTGGATTATAGTTGAGTAAAAGTGATTTTGGCTGAAAAATTACCAAAATGGGCATGAGTTTTAATAAATAATGAAACATGATGAAAAATTGATTTAAGACAATACAATAAAATAAAAATAAAATAATATGAAGAAATAAAATTTAATGAGTGGATTAAATTATAAAATATTTAAAAAATCAAAAAATATTTGAAATATAAAGTGAAACATGAAAAAAAAAAAGAATTGAGATAATATAATGAAGAGGTGAAATTTAGAGTGAATTAAAATTGAAAATTTTAGAGAAATCATAAAAAATATTAGGCAAATAAAAGCAAAACATAATTTGAACGAATAAAACTGTTTTGAACTCCAATTAGTAGTATTGCGACAAAGTGAAATGAAATAATAATATTACATAATTAATTAATTGATAAGCTATGGATAATTTGGTCTCTGATTGCATCACGGACGCGATTCATATGAGATGAAGACTGTGAATTGACATTTGAAGGTGATAGTTGACTAGCTTCAGTCTGATCATGTTCGCCAATTACATTACCATCTTCAGCTTGTTGAAAATAGAAGTCAGAGCTTGAATGTCTCCTTATAAGGTTATGAATGGCCATTGTTGCACAAACCAAGTACACTTGTGTTTGGAAGTCGTAACTGCGCATATTTTGTAGGATTTGAAATCTATTCTTCCAGACACCGAATGTTCTTTCTATTGTGCACCTTAAACTGGAATGATAATAATTGAAGGCTTCGTTACTATTTTGGAATCCTACTTGTCGTCGGAAGTCCGGAAGGTGGTAGCGCTCAGATCTGTATGGACCTAGATATCCATTTGGTGTTGGATATCCCGCATCAACCAAGTAATATTTCCCTAAAGATTCATGAAACAATTTCAGACGTTATGAAATGAATGAAAATATAAAATAATTAAAAACGTGCATGATTGGAACATATAAACATATACCTGGAGGTGGATGAGGGAAATTTAGAGATGAATTTGTAATAGCGCTATCAAATATACGAGCATCATGTGCAGATCCCTCCCATCCTGCCAAGACAAAAGTGAAACACATATCCCAATCATATACAGCCATGACATTTTGTGGTGGATTTCCCTTTCTGCCAATAAATCTATCTCGTTTTGCAGCGGGGACAACACACGGTATGTGAGTACCATCAATTGCTCTGATTGCGTCCTTAAAAAATGGATAATAACGTGGATCATTCTCAATTTTTCTATGACTTCCACGAAATGTAGGATCTACAGGTCGAATGAGTTCACTTGATAGGCCAAGGCAAGCTTGTAGTACATTATGAAAGTGCCTACTTACAGTTTCCCCTGAACGTTGAAATCGTTCCTGGATCATCCTATTACTTTGTCCATGTGCAATCGTATTTAAAAACATCGCGACCACTTCTTCAATTCCTATGTACCTAGACTTTCGCAAACCATGTTCCTCCAATTTAGTACATAAGAGGTGGAAAACATGTTTATCCACTCTAAACATTTCAGGACATCGATCATCATGCCCATTCATAATGTCTTGTACCCATAAATTTCCTGTTTGCTCACTAGTTCTACAGGGTTGTTTAAACATATACATTTCACAGTAATGACCAACCAATGCACCTACTGCTTCATGTTGTGTTAATTCCTCATTAATCATGGATAACCGTCTTGAATGGTCATCTTCATTCCACTGTGAATCATCATTCCAATCCCTCAAAGTATCCTCATTCCACGGTGAATCATCATCCCAATCCCTCACAGTATCTTCATTCCACTGTGAATCATCATTCCAATTAGCCATTTTTGGAGTTAACCCTGTAACTATAATAACAACAAAGTGTAAGCATTATAAGGACTATACTAAACCCCATGTAAATAATTTTCACACTACAAACAGAAAAACCAAACACATAGATGACAATTAGAAATTAGCATAAATATATTACATAGTCATTACTAAAGTTCCTACAACAAGTCACATTAGTTCAGGTTCAAACAGCAAACATTTCAAGTTAACAAGTGCAACAACTAAATCCTAAACTAAATCCTATTCTAGAGGTGCCTACTTCCATGTGTCTGGATCTTGTGCTGCCGGTATTAACCACGCCAACAACTTCCTTCTATCATGCATAAACCCCAAATAGGCTCGCCTAGCCCACCTCAACCGCGTAAGCATCTTGGCACATGCATTAAGCTCCTCAACGGTAGTCAGGTGTGCTAAAACCTTGTCAACTACTTGGGGATCTTCAACCAGTGCCGCTGCTCGCTTGTCAGAAGCAGCTGCTATAACACTAAGACTATCAGAAATTTTAGTAGACGCGGAAACTTTTTTCTTCTTCTTTACATCAGATGTTTCACCCCTCTTCCTCTTTCCATAGCTTCCTGAGCCACTTGGTCCAGTACTCGTAGGGGTGTTTAAGTTGCAACCGGCAAAGTCATCGGTGAATCCTGCAGTGGCTGTTGGGTCAACTCCAAAATTTCCATCTTCACTGTCCCCTGACCCTTCCTGTTGGTCCAGGCCAACTCTATAAACATCCTCCTCCTCTTCTGTACCAGCCTGTGTCACAAGTGTCGACTGGGGCTGTGAGGCTGATAGTGCATACATATACTCTCCCGAAGCCACAACATCTTTGAATATTTTCTGCAACTTTGATGCAAACATCAACTCCTGATATCTAAATTTCTTGAAATTAGGGTCAACCTACATTACATTAACATAATTAGGCAAAATCAAACAAAGTCGTAACGGATATTCAAAATTAAAACTCAACCAACGGAAATAATTACCAGTAATTTTCGTTGCCACCACTCATCGGAGGCTAAAATCCTATTTGTGGCTACATCATAACCAATCCCAGTCTCTCCAGACATCAGTTTATCCCACAATTTCCAATCTTTTCGCAATATATCAAATCTATTCTTCAATTGCCTTCTGTCATACATTCTCCCACTCCTTTCTTGAAAGTTCTTTTCAATTTTTCCCCAACCAGGCCTTGTAAATGATGTTCCTTGTCGTTCCTTGTGCACTATTTGCTCGGCACAAACATTGATTGGAATCTTTGTCGTGTAAGGATCCCATGTCGCTTTTCCCTTATCATTGTCCATTTCTTTATCCTTTTGATGGAAACAAAACTAACTAAATCAACCAAAACCCTAAATATATAATAATGAAAGCCACATTATGTAATCACCAAACAAACATATATACTATTTTCTTAATATTATTGTAAATGCATTTGTTATCAAAACTCCAATTATTATTATGAAATATAAAAATATTAATTAACACATTATAATTGCAAAAACTGTTTTGCTTTCTTATTCAAAAACTCAATTAATCAATTGTTTTTCTTATTGTTTGAAAAAAAATTGTTCATCTTTCAATTAGAACTGCCATATTTTAACAGAAACTTAATTAATAATGACTTATTTAATAGAAATTTAATTAGGGAAGACAATTCAGTAGTTAATTACATTATTAAAAACCAGCATTATAATGACTAAAAAATTGTTATCAAATTACTTTCTTCAGTCTATTTCACATAAAACCACTGAATGATCAGTGTAACACTCTGATATACACTTCAATCTATTTCACATAAAAAATTTTGTTTTTTTGTACATTTTTCTTTCAAAATTCCAGGACCATTGCAACCCAATAATCAGTGTAACACTCTGATATACACATATACACAAGCTCATGCGCACTTATACAATATCCAGAATGATCATCACGTTTTCACCAAAAAAAAAATGATTCATCACGTATACACCATCTACGTTCTGCTCCCCGTTAATTCACAAAACCACCAGCAAGCCGTCGGAAAACCAGAAGGAAAACAAATCAATTATCATAAACCAACCGAAAAAATCACCGGCGACGGAGAACACTTGACTTCCACCGGCGACAGAAACAGAGCATCGCAACAAACCAGACTGAAAAAATCATAAACCGAACACCGACGACGGAGAACTCTTCACTTCCACCGGCGACAGCAAATCCGACCAAGAATCAAACCAGAAAAGAAAGAAAAAATTGTAATCACCAACCTGTAACAGATCAACCGAATCGAAGGCAGCTAGAGATAGATCCCACCGTGTATCGCAAGACAAGATCGACGCATAGCTCGAAACCACAGGCAGACGACGGCGACCTCGGTTGCAGACGGCATGACCAGCTCAGACTTGCAAGGAAGAAGCACCTCCAGCCGACCACGGACACCTCACACCCACGACTCGAAGCGCACGACGGTGCTCACGGCGACCAGAGAGGGACCTTCAGCGGGGCGACCTTCAGCTCACGGCGGCAAGAGAGAATGGGAGAGGAAAAAAGGAACAGGCACGAAAATGGGAGAGGAAAAAGACGAGTTGTGTGAGACGGAAATGAAAATGGGAGAGGAAAAAAACAACTGAGCATCTGACACCCCACACTTTCTTTTTTTTTTTTTCCCCGCGAGAAGCTCTTCTGGGCTAAGCAATAAGCTCCTTTCTTGAGCTTATGAGAATCGAGCGTTCCATCAGCCCTTTTTTCCATAAGCCCAATCACATATAAGTGAAACCAAACAGGCCTCAGTTGCAATCTAGCTTATTTTATAATTTAAGCCCACTTTAAGCTTAATAAAAGTGAATCCAAACAGGCACTGATTCATCATATATACATACTCAAATAATAAAATCATCTGGGCTCCACATGATGCTATATACGCATAGGACCCTAGCTGAGCCAGCGAAGCAAAAATGGAAAGTCATCGTAATAGAGATACTTTCCTCGGGATGGAAAAGCAGGGAGAGAATCTTCCCACATTTATCAAAGCAACTTGCAATTGAGCCGCTGAAATTTAAGAATATTCTAGAGACATTGTGACAAATATGCAAGAGTTTTCAGTCATGTCAATTTAAAAGAGGAAAGAAAAAAGCCTGAGCTCATCAGAAAGCATTACACGCAAGGGAAACTTTGCCCAGAGAAATGGAGGGAAAATTTTTTTTAATGAGTTTGATTTAAAAAATTTTAAAAATAGAGCTTTAAAATTTTAATAAAAAATATGTAAAATAAAAGAGTAATAAAAATTAATTAAAAACTTTTAATCTTACTTTTTTTAATTTTTTAAATTGAGCTTATTAAAATTTTTGCAAGCCTCCCCATCTCTCCATTTCTCTATTATCAAAGGGATTTAATCTAATGCTAACCATCACCCAAACATATTCTCTTTTTTTTTTTTTCATGTGAAAGATATGTAAGTGTGTGTATGCGTTTTAAGCCCCCCCGGATTAATGTATAAGGGTGTGTTTGGTTGTAGAGGAAGGGAGAGAAAATAAGCCCATTTCCTCATTTGGTTGAAAATTTTGGAGGGGCCACCCCCTATTTTGGTTCCCTCCAAATTGGGGCTTTTTTGAAGGGAGACCAAATATTCTAACTAATTTACCCTCATTAGCTATATAATATTCCATCAAATGCCCCTCTGTAAAAAGTAAAGTTATTCTTTTAGATGCTTCAATATTTTTCTTTCGCTGCTCTCTCTTCTTCTCCTCCCTTCACTATCGACTTGTGTGCAAAAAACATTGTCGCTGCCCGTCGTCCTCACCGTTCATTACCGGATCTATGCCTTCTTTTACTATTTTCTTCTTGTTCAACACTTTCTTTCAGGTATATTTCTTTAACTACATGTAGATTTGTTTGTTGCTGTTGTTTTTAACTTTTGGTTTGCAACACGATCCATGAACCGAGCATATAAGTTAGTTGTGATTGTTGTGGCAGTACTTGAAGTTAATCATATTCGGTGCGTGAATCACCAAAATTTCCTTTTCCCAAATTGTAATTGCTTCTTAGATATTTTTGTTATGATTGTTCTTCGAAATCCCATCCAATTCACTCTCATTCTTTAAATGGGTCGAGACAATTTCAAATTTTAATCACTCAAAAACTCGGAAACAGCCACACCTGTTACCCTCTTATTTGTACTCATAGAAATCCTGATTGTGTTCCTCAAAAGCGGGCATATTTGAAGAAACACATACAGGTTGTATGGTGCCTTCTTTATCAGAGAGGAGACATTTTATAAGATTCTCGGAGAAGACATGAAAGGCTAGGAGGAAATGTCTAAGAAAACTGAGTTTAGCTATCAACAGTTATAAATTTTTCTACTGTAACTTTGGGTTTTGGAGAGTCCAAGGAGCATCTTTTTACTTAAGCAAAAGATGAAGACATCTTTTTGTATTATGATGACTTGATTATGATAACTTTTGATATAAGCCTAACATAATGTCTAGGTACTGATGCTTTTTGTATATTTTGATATGTGCTAACAATTTTAGCTTTTTAATAGTAGGGATGACTTGATTTGCACTATCATGGATATGCTCTATTGAAAGTTTTTGTATTGTTAGCAAAATACTATAAACTATGAAAGTTTGTATTTATTTGCATGATAGGTTCGAAGTTGTAAGTATTTGTAGTTCTAATTTTATAGTCTTTGGATTATGTTTGTGCACTATTTTCTATCAATTAAAGTATTTTGTTGTAAAAAAAATTACATAGGAATCTATTCAATGTTATGAGAAATTTGTTAATTACATATTAACAGCAATCATATAAATAAATTAAATTACGAGGCTAGCTTTTTTAAATTAAACAAATAAATTAAATTATGAGGCTAACTTTTTTAAATTAAACAAATAGTATTGGTATCAACTTTAAATAAAAAATTTAACAATTTTACTGATATTACCCAATACCCACAAGATAATAATCCAAATAATAAGTAATGTCCTCAATATAAAATTATTAATTTGATTTTTTAGCATATATTATTTCATTAGCGTGAATTTTATAAACTATACTATTTGAATTAATATTTAAATTAATTTACATAAAAATAATATAAATCAAAATATAAGGGTAAAATAGTAAATTGATTATTACCATCCCTCCCCTTCCTTTCTTGAACCTAACAAGGGATTATTAAATATTCTTCTCTCTCCTCATTTTTAATCAAACCAAATAAGATGAGGTTAAAATAAAACCTCCCCTCGCCTCTCCCATCCTACCCTCTCCTCTCCTCTCCTCTCCTCCCTACCCTCCCCTCCCCTCAAACCAAACACACCCTAAGGGTCTACATGTGGATTGCTTGTGAGAAAATTCAAGATATTATTGGCTAATTTGTGACAATTCTTGCACTTACTAATGTATCTTACCTATTTAATTGCTGAAATCAAATGTTATTATATATCAAGTACCCTTCTGATTTGGTTCTTAATATAAGAGCTATTGAATTAATTATAACAAATATAATCTGATTTTAATTATACTATCTCCGATCCTAATCAGAGGTAGAATTAGTTTACAGATTAGATACAGATTAGTTTTAAAAAAATGATAAATATGAAAGATGAAATAATTTAAGAACTTATATTTTGCATTAAAACCAACTCTTGGTTACTTCCTACATTTAAAATGAGAGGAGTATTGTCTTTTAATCAACTAATTAATCATTACAGAACCATTTTAGGAATATTCTACCTTGGAACGAGAGTTGAAACCTAACCATATATATTAAGGTAAGGTCGGTCTTGGCACCTTATTAAGCTTATACACGCAATGCAATTAGTGGGTAATAATTATCGGATGACATGTGAGGATGGGGAGTGACCTGTTCTTATCGCCTTTTTCCTTGGTTGTTTATGGCATAGTGGTATTAAAATATTTAGCTTCTTAATATAAGATTCATTTTTTAATGTAATTTACACTACAAAATAGATCTTATATTAAGAATTAGAAAGAGTATTTGATAATTAATTAATCATATTAATTATAAACATGACTTTTTTTTAACCTTCTTATAAGATGTCACACCAAACAATATAGCGTATACTTTATAAATACTGAAATAGAAACATGGTCGGCCCATCTAATCGTTTCCTTATTAAAGTTTCGTTTTAATTAATTTGTGGCTCAGTTTGATTATTTCAAGCCGATCATGAAGATTGGGTTTGCCTTTATTTAATTTAGACTTAAATAGTCCACATCTCATTAATATATTATAGCAAATTAGACACTACGGCCTCTGCGCCGCTTTGTATAAAATTGAAAGTAAATTGCATTATTTATAAATGATAAATGATGTGATTTTATTTTGAAAAAATGACAAATTATTACATGCCAAATAAGGAATGTCAAAAAAAAATTTGTTGTTATTTGCAAATTTAGTGTTTTCAATGCCAAATAAAGTGTTATTACTAAACCCAATTTGAAATTTGGTAATTTTCAGCTTCTTTTTTTTTCCTTTTATTTTATAAATTCTGCAATACATACATATATGTATGTATGTACGCATTTGTTATACTAATTTAATTAGAGGTTTTCGAATTCGAGATTAGGATTCATGATTACAATAATTTTTCTTGGCAAACTGTTAAATTCTTTAAAAGGAATATTCAACAATACATATGCACATAAATTGAGGGGAAAAAGAGAATGAGTATAGAGAGGACTCATAATTATCAATAGGATTGAATCTAGCAGAAGGAGCTAATCCGATACAACATGGCGAATCAATCTTTGCCTGTAGGAGAAGTGTTCATATTTTGTATCCGACAGTATCTTAAATATAATTGCCTTCAATAGGATACCATGCATAGCAAAAGAAGAAGAAAGGATTCACAATTATCCATTTCTTTTTTTTGGTAAACATAATTAAATGGCCAATTATATTTAAAACTTGCTCATAATTATCAATCTCTCTCATTTTTTCCCTTGCTCAGATTCTCACGCAAGAAGAAGTAGCTAGGAGAAGGTAGAGTAGCCATTTTCATCTAAAAGAAGTTGATGGAATAATTAATACTTATCCATATATACGGTCCCTCTGAACTATTTCTCTCATCACTATTATTATTAATATATGATACAAGTTAACTTAGTTGTCACCACGTTCATAAACCAATTAAAAAAAATAAAAACAAGCCCACAAACAATAAATTAAAAGAAGAAACAAAGTCTGGCTAAGACAATAACATAAAAAACAACGAAAACTAGAGAGGGGGTGGTGGCCTTCAATAATGACATATTATCTAACCACTCTTTTTGGGTCCATGGACGGTGCAATTTGTCTTCCCTTTCGTAAGTCCTCCTTTTATATATAAAACCATTGCGGAAGGGTTCTGATGCATCAAGTTTCAGAAACTGATCAAACTACTAACCATTAGGGTTTGTTTCAGAGTGACAGAAAAAATGGTGAAGATAACTCTGGGTAGCTTCAGTGACTCTTTCAGTGTCGCTGCCATCAAGGCTTATATAGCCGAGTTCATCGCCACTTTGCTTTTCGTCTTTGCCGGCGTCGGATCAGCCATAGCTTACGGTGAGTCCTCCATTAGTTTAAATAATCGTTCTGTGAATTATGTATTTATTGAAGAAGAAGAAGATCGAAAATGCACGTGTGTGTATATATATATGTACATATATGAATGATGTTATGAGGTTGACGACGACGTTGGTTGGGATTGATTTATATATATAGGTGCCGTTACAAAGGATGCGGCGTTGGATCCGGCGGGGCTTGTGGCGGTGGCGGTGGCCCATGCATTCGCACTGTTCGTCGGAGTTTCCGTGGCGGCCAACATCTCCGGCGGCCATTTGAATCCAGCTGTCACCTTTGGATTGGCCATTGGAGGCAACATAACCGTCTTAACTGCTCTCTTGTACTGGGTTCACCAAATGCTGGGATCCTTGGTCGCTTGCCTCCTCCTCAAATTTGTCACAAGTGCCCCGGTATGCCTTCTCGCTAATCTCTTCTCAATCCTCAACTTTTTAAGAGAAATAAGAATATAAAGTTAAATACTACTAATGAGCTAGCTTAGCTTGTTTAATTTAGATTAATGTTGGGAGATTTGGCTAAAAAAGTCAATTAGTGTAAAGTACTACCTCCGATCTTAATTATAAGACCTCATTTATAGTCTACAAATAAGGTTTTATAAATAAGACGAGAGGTAATAGTTTATATTTGGATAGGCTTATCAAAAAATAGTTTGACATGCAAAACTTTTTTGAATGATATATTAAAAAGTCGGTTTGGAGAAGCAAAGGAAAAATATCAAGTTAAAAAAAAAAAGTTTATTGCCCCGAAAACCATATATGTCAAAACATCATATTTTTATCTGACTAGCTTTTTTGTTTAAGTTCCAGTAGACTTCTCTAATTTTCTAATTAATAATACATCTGATCTTAAATATAAGAGCTAGTAGAAATATTTTATTTTGTCCTAAATATAAATACATATAGGATTTCAATTAATTTATCTCTTAAATTTATAATTCTTTTTTCCAAATTCTCCTTATACATACTAAGGGGTATTTGTCAACAGTTAATTTCCAATACAAATAACTATAGGGATATTTAATTAGGAAAATCAACACCCATTTCTTTTTTTATAAATAACTAATTTAACTATAATTTTTATAATCTTTACAAATTAGTTAACTACCATAACATGCACTAAGTTGGGACCATGAATCAACCAATGATGTGAGCAGCAGAGGTTGTTGTCTCAAATGATTGGTGTTCAATACCCAATTTTTGCATATGAGACAAACTTAGTTAGGAGGATTTACCGTCTTTGAGGAAAGATAGCCAACAATCCTAATCTGAAAATACACATTGGAATTAAGATACAGGGGATCTCTCTAATTAAGTGTATTATGCTTAGATGGATATGATGGATCGTTTGTAAACTAATTATCAAATTTATAAATGATGCAGACCGTTCCTGTCCATGGACTTGCGTCAGGAGTGGGAATTTTTGAGGGCATAGTGTTTGAAATTGTGGCCACTTTTGGACTGGTTTACACTGTGTATGCCACAGCGGCTGACCCCAAAAAGGGCTCTTTGGGCATTATTGCACCCATCGCAATTGGGTTCATTGTGGGTGCCAACATCTTGGCCGCCGGCCCATTCAGCGGCGGCTCAATGAACCCGGCCCGTTCATTCGGCCCGGCCGCTGTATCCGGGGACTTCACCAGCTACTGGATCTACTGGGTCGGACCCTTGATCGGTGGCGGTTTGGCCGGGTTGATTTACGGTGACATATTCATTGGCTCATATGCTCCTGTTCCTACCTCTGAAGCCTACCCTTGATGAGTAGTTATTGTTTGTGTTTCCAATTTGTTCATCATTTGCTGTCTTGTTTTTGTGTGGAAGTTGTGCTTTTGATTTCCACTTAGCCAAGGAGCTTTGATTTGGCTTTTGGTGATAAGAACGTAATTAAATTGGCAAATTAAAGCCGAACGAAGCTCTATTTATTTACCATATAAGTTCATGGAAGAAGCATTAAAGTCCGCAAAGTTACGTGCTTACGTCGGAGTCTTGCAGTTCAAATGACACCAATCACATCTCTCCAGAATTTCTAATTTTGAGTTCGAATTTCAAACCTAAAAAGTATAATGAGTACTGTGGCGTGAAAAAAATAAATAAATTACATGCTTGTCATCTTCATTTGTCATTGCCTTTCAATTTATATAGCGGTAATGTCAAACTCTTACAAAAATTTGAATAATAATCGAAACAATTTCTATTTTTATAAACTTGTTTATTTATAAAATTTAATTCAAATATAAATCAAATTATCCAATTTAATTTTTACCGAATTTTAAGATAAGATAGTCCAGGATTTTAGAGAATGTAACTGACATTGAACATTGAACCTGGTCTCACGGAAATATCTATACAAAATCTGAATAGAAATGGAATGTAATAATGTTGCACCTTTGACAGCAAGCAAGGTTATGAAGATCAGGAGAATCAAACAGTTGACTTTTACTCATAATATACTAGCTCTGATGTTTAATATATATAAGACTCAATTAACTAATTGAGGAGATTAAGAAAGTTACTAAACAATACTTAATTATAACATATGTTATATAATATCTCTAAAATATTTATATATATCATTAGATTATACATTAATTTATAAGTGAGTCAAATTTATTTAAAAAAAATAATAAATATAAATATTTTAAAGTAATTTAGTAACTTCTTTAGTATTTCCAAATTAGTTAACTAGATTTTATATTAAGAACGGGAAGTAGTATTTAAAAGTTAAAACGTGGAAAATTTTCTTTTCAGGACCAAATGAAATACACATTTTGCGCTAAGGGCCCTAAAATTTAAGAATCTGTTAAACACGTAGTATTACACTATCAAAAAAATTATTTAAACAGCATCTTGTCAAAATTCAAACTTCTTAATGTTGAAAAAAGAATTTGTCAAAATCTGAGTCAATAGGTAATTTATGCTTCAATGGCCATCGGTGGTGGCTCCGGAGCAAGTGCTGGTGATGGTGGTGGTGGGGTATTTTTTCGGATAAATGGAGAATTTTACTAAATACAATATAATTTCATTTTTAATCTCTTAATAATTATCTGAGGTGTCAGGTTTTGCATTCTTTGAATGCTTTAAGAAATTGTGAATTTGTGAGTGTCAGCGTCAAGAAGGGTCACTCTCACCAGCCGCCCATGACCAGCCCACACTTGTGGGCGCGCTTGTGGATAGAAATAAAAGAAGGTAAATTTAAAATTCACCAATTTACCAACAAGTATTGATCCAAATGATAGAGATTTAGACACTTTAAATATCATGTCTTGAGTTTGATTCTTAGAACGATATGTATGTAAAAACCACTGTTGAAAGGAATTCCCACTATAGTACCTGACAGTATTCTGAAAGATTAGTCTCTTATCGTTCCGGTAGGAGGATACTCTAGAAAAAAAAGAAATTCACCAATTTTTTGACAAGAATTATTATAACAGTAATCAATATATATATATATATATATATATATATAACGAATGCACCACAATATGTATAATAAAACTTATAAAAAAACTACTATCTCCCTCCTTCTATAATATAATGGCTATTTGAAAATTGGATTGTGTTATAAAGATTTTAATACATTTTCTCTCCTACATTTATAATATTAAATTTAAAATATCTCTATTAATTGTAAGAGGTTTTTATTAAGAGATAACTTCCATAGTCCAATGTACATGATTAATTAAATAACATAATTTAGAAAAGTCAACACACAATTAATCAATTTAACTAGTTCTTTTTAATATCATAAATTATTTATTTAACTTTTATATTAAGAATCAGTAGTATTATGTGTTGGAAAATAACTTAATAATACTCAATTTTAAAATAATTATGAATTACTACCTCTGGTCCTTAATATAAGACCTCGTTTGACTTTTATTTTGATCCTAAATATAAGACTCTAATTTATTTTGTCTCTCATATTTATATATATTTTTTCAAAATAGTCTTTAAGGCCAGAGGGAGTTTATATTAAGATCCATTAATTTAAATTCCCATTTCAGTTTTTCCGAATCCATTCGGCCATTCCTATCTTCTGCCTTTCCCCTCTTGATTCTAAGCCAAGAATTTTATGATTATTATTTATTTATCGTTCTATAATTCTGTGAATATCCTTACACGGCAAAACGGCATGTCGTCGAGCTGAGCACATGGTTGGATTGGATCGACCCAAAGCCAGAGGAAGCCTCTGCTTCAACTTCTCTCGCAAACCAACCCCACCAAGCGGGTGGTTGGTACTACTTCATCGATCTTATAGAGCGAGAAATCGAGAGGCAAACTTAAGCAGAGGATGGCATTAGCACGTAGAGTCTCTTGCAGCCTCCCTCAAGTTGTTGGATTGACAAACAGGTCCTTCAATTCTTTGAAATTCCCTGACGACTCTGTTGGATCACCATCCTCTTCCTTTCTCACCCATGGAATCCATGTATTTCAGTGCCCTGTAAGTTACATTCTCATTTAGCTTTTCTGTTATTTTTGACCCCCATGATATGGCTTTTCTATTTAGATGCTTATTTGCGCTTTTTAGTTTTCATTCTTCCGGTCATTTCTCTTTTAATTGCCGAGAAAATTATTATTGTTGATGCCAAGTTTCGTAAGCGGGTGGGAAGAGGTTCCGTTCTGGGTGCCCAGGTGGGAATTGAATTGGTTTTGTGATAGGATACGGTCGGAATTGTAGCCAAGCTGTCGGATTGTATTGCTTCTAGAGGTGGAAACATTCTCGCCGCTGATGTTTTTGTACCTGAAAATAAACGAGTCTTCTACTCTAGAAGGTAGCTCCAATGTCTTGTACGTGAATTTAGAAATACAGTCTATCGTGCTGGTTCATTTTTATTTCAAGTGTACTATTTTTGATCAAGCCAATCTGTGTCAATTTGTTTTATTTATGGCTGCTAACCTATGATAAATCAAGATTTCGGATCCAGAATTACGTCGTACTTGATAAGACACTTCTAATTACTTTCAAATACTGATACAACATGTCAAATGCAGTAAAAAACTAACATATTTATCCATGCTAGTATTATAAATTCTTAGCTGCCAACAATGCAAGTTTTCAAGCCTTTTGATATAAAAAGCATCTTCTCTCAAAAGGAATTTTTTTTTTTTGCCCTTCCCAATCCTCTCTCATTCACCAATGTGGACTGTGCTTAGTGCTGTAAAGCTTAAATTTTGTATTTCCTAGGCATGAGGGACACTTCTTAGCAAGTGTACTATCAAGCTTGCCTCAGTGTGAGTGCTTGAGCTCCCATCAAAGCCAATAAAGGTTAAACCTCACACACACACACACACACACACACACACACACACACACACACAGAGAGAGAGAGAGAAGGAGGGGGCATGGGAGCTCAGTTAAACTGGTAACTGATTACCCATTTAATCTTCTTGCCATTGATCCTTAAAGCTGGCTTTTTAATGTCGGGAGAATGACTGAGGGCAATAAAAACTTCGCTGTAAACAATTTCTCAAAAATTAAAGCGGATGTCTTATATTCTGCCAATTTTATTTCTATTATTTTTCTAAGAAAACTTCTTTTATGACTTGAAGAAGTCCACAACAATTTTCTTTCTCTTTTTGCTCTGTGGCACAAGAAGCTAATGAGGTATTTTTGGTTTACTGAACCTATGAATGAAGCTGTACCTTGTGCTGATCATTGCAGTGATTTTGTATTTGATCCTGTTAAATGGCCACGCGTGCAAATGCATGAAGACTTTCTAAAGCTTTCAAAAGAATTTAATGCAATGAGATCTGTTGTAAGGGTGCCAGCGCTGGATCCTAAATATAGGATAGCTGTTCTGGTGTCAAAGCAGGTAGACGTTGTTATTTCTCTTGTGACATTTTCTGCTGTTGTTTGGGTATTGAAGCTCTCTTTCTATTTTTGTAGGATCATTGCCTGGTTGATTTACTACATGCGTGGCAGGATGGAAGACTTCCAGTGGATATCAAGTGTGTAATTAGGTACAAGTTCAGAAATAACACCTTTAGATTGATATCTCTCATTCGTTTGTTTTGTTTTATTTCCCCCTTGACCTCCTCTTGGATCTAAATAATGTCTTCAATGGCACATTTGGCAGTAACCACGACAGGGGACCAAATACCCATGTTTTTCGTTTTCTTGAGAGGCATGGCATTCCTTATCATTTTTTAAGCACAACCAAAGAGAATAAAAGAGAAGGGGAGATCTTGGAGCTGGTTCAGAATACAGATTTTTCAGTCCTTGCAAGGTATATGCAGGTAAATAACTCATATTTTTTGTTTACTAATTGCTCTAATGTCTAAGAGAGGGATTTGGGTAATTGGTTCTATTTTCTGTTCTGCAAGAATTGGCTATTCATTAGAAGTTATGACAATGTGACTTGGGTATATAATTACCTTTCGGTTGCGTTCCATGCCACTATCTCGCATAAAATTGATTTGAAGAGTTCGACTTCTTTTTTTTTTCCTTCCTAAACTGTTCTAAAGTATGTGGCATTAATTAACCTCTGCAGATACTATCTGGCAACTTCTTAAAGGGCTATGGGAAGGACATCATTAACATTCACCATGGTCTGTTGCCATCATTCAGGGGTGGCAATCCATCTAGGCAGGTTAGTCGCTGACACTTAATCATTTGTGCTTTTTGTTGCTTCCTAATCACACATGAGTTTTAATATGTTAGATTGTGTTGGCAGGCCTTTGATGCAGGTGTGAAATTAATTGGGGCAACGAGTCACTTTGTGACTGACGAACTTGATGCGGGGCCCATAATTGAACAAATGGTGAGCACATAAAACATTTATAGCCATTTTTGTTCAGGTTACAGTGGCTAGTTCACAACAATGCGTAAATGGTAACATTGATGTGAATGGGCTATAGGTGACATTGATAAAGGAAGACCATTAAATTTACTTTTAAGTTTAACTTGCAGTTAGACTTAGATCATCATCCCATTGACAATACAAACAGATGCTGCTGCTGAAAAATCTGTGTAGCCTCCCTGGGCTTCTGTATCAGTTATAAGCACTAAGATATATTGCAAAGTATATGAAGAAGTCTGAATAAATTGTGAAGGTGCATGTTATATCCTAAACTTAGCGGACACAGCCTAGAGTATGCCTCTTTCTTTTTCTCGTGTGAGTAAAAATGGCTGAATCTTATATTTGCAGGTGGAGAGGGTATCCCACAGGGACAACCTGCAGAGCTTTGTGCAGAAATCAGAGAGCCTTGAGAAACAATGTCTTTCAAAGGCTATCAGATCTTATTGTGAGCTTCGAGTATTACCTTATGAAGGAAAGAAGACAGTTGTATTTTAATGGGTTACAAAGCGCCAAAATGAGACGCCAAGCTACATGTGTCGGAAAGAGATTGCCATAGTTCTTTTTCCCATCCTTCTTGTATTTTATAGCGTAATCATTTGTTTGAATATAACAATATGCACCAAAACGAGGTGCATTTACATGTGAACTCACTAATTTAATCAAATGGAAATATTCATGTTATAATTCCCTTAGTGTGTTTGGATTAGTGGGGGGAGAAGTAATTTTTTTTTAATCTAACTTCTATAAAAGTGAGATTGGATAAAAGTCAGATAGTATAATGTGATTTATGTTTGAATTAGATTTTGTAAAAAAGTCAGTTTGAGAAACTAAAATTTGTTTCGATAACTAACGAAAAAGTTAAGTTATATGTAAAATGAACAAAAAAGATATGAATTTTATTAAGTAATATTACTTCCAGTCCTTAATATAAAAGTTAGTTTGATATTAAATTTGATTCTAAATATAAAACAACAACTATTTATTATAAATAACTAATTTAACTAACTTTTTTAGTCTTTCCAAATTAATTAACTAGCTTTTATATTAAAAACTGGAAGTAGTATATATTTAATATTAAATGTATATAATGCGACAATTGTAAAAAAAATTGAAAATAAAATCATTTAAAATAAAGAAATTAATTTATTATTAGAAAGAAATTGAAAAATGCTATCTTTCCACCGCACGTTACATCCCACTATTTAAAGCAAAGAAATTAATTTATTATTAGAAAGAAATTGAAAAATGCTACCTTTCCACCGCACCGTTACATCCTACTGGTAAAAACAGGATTGATTAGCTTCTTTCATAAATCCATTTGAGATCCAAAAGTCAAATTGTATAAACATTAAACCAAACACCACTTTTTATGAAAAAGTACCGTTTGCCATTTGAATCATACATTTTGGGGTCAAAATGTGAATACAAACACACCCTTAGACCGTGTTGGGGATGGCTGATGAGAGCCTTTGTCGTTTGTCTTGGGGTTCCCAATCAAAAATAAATCCAAGTAATGCAATATAGTACAAAATTCGGGTTATTTCACTTTGAGGAGCCTTTATTTGAAATCCTAAGCAACTAAGTATCAAAAATAAAGAATTGACGTGGAAAGGGATTGATTTTCTTTTTAATTAACTAATTGGCAAAATTTAAAAGGATGCAAAATGAGTAAATAATTTTTGGATTTTTAGTTTATAAAATGGATATGAATTAAATGAATAAAAAAAATTAACAAGTGATAGCAAATGGAAGAGCAATCCTCTAGCACAATGATTAAGGCTATCATTACTTCAATTAATTTGGGAGTTAGCTAAATTCAAAAGACTCTAAGGGCCACCCCCTAGACTCGGTTTAATTAGAATAATCAACACCAAGTCACCTTGCATATTAATTATTCACAATTAAACTGTTTCAGTACAATTAGCCAAAAAGAAAATCAAAGAAAAGCAATTAACATTTTTAGTCCAATAACCAAACCATCTTGAATTACCACTAAATGTTCACAATAATTTCAAAACATAGTCTGACCCAGTACAATGTAAAGAAATTAAAGCTAATAGCATAATGTTAAATGCTAATCAAAGATTCCAACAACTACAACCAATCTCAATACAAATATAAATCATCACAGCCCATTCAAACATTATAAAATTCATTCTAAGATATAGAAATCACAATTATAATGAAAGAAGTAAAGATTAGAATAGTTGAAACTCCCATTTGAAGCTCCAAGTTCAAGCCATAAACACTGTTCTAGAGAATTGGAGGATTTAGCTACTCTTAACCATCACAACCACAGCTCCAACAAACCAATTCGGTTCAGCCATGAAGAAAAAAGAAGATGAATGCTGGGATGTGATTTCGCTGTGGAAGCTCACGCTGAATCCTCTCCTTCACGCCGCTGGTTCACTGCCTCTATTCGTACCTCTCGCGTGTCCCGCCTCACAGCTCGTTCAACGTCGCCTCTGTTTCGTGTGCTGCCCACCTCGCGTGTGTCTGTCTCCTCTCTCCTCCTGTGCGCTGCTCGCGTTGATCATATGAATAATAGGTTTAGTGGGGAGGGGGCAAAACGCAACGTTTTGCTCCCCACTTTTATTATTTTAGTTTTTTTTAATTTATTTTTTTCTTTTCTCTTTTTTTTTTTTTATTTTTTTATTTTGAAAATCTTCCAAAAACCTGTAACAAAAATTCAAAGATAAGGTAACATTAATTGTTCTCAAAAATCAATTAGTCACAATTAAACCAAAATATGATAATTTTGCCCCTATAAAATAATAATTCAAAATAAAACATATCAAACCAATTAATAATCAATTAAGGCCAAAAGGAACCAATTAAGTTGACAAAACTCATATAAAAAATATCAAAATATGTAAAAATAATTGAGTTTGTCAATGGTATTTTGAGATCCCAAACTGACTTCTCATCGATAAAAGCAACTTCTGGCCAAAATTTTTGTTTGGGATTCTAATAGAAAAAAAGGAGCTTCATGAAAAGAAGTAACTTTTACCTTTGCCTCAAAAGAAGTGTCATTTGCATAGAAAATAATCATGCTATCCACATTTATTTGTTGTTATTTTTATTTGTTAATGTACAAATAATAATTAAAATAAGAAATATTTTACAACTTTTTCAATAATACAACAAGTCCTTCTGTTTTTATAATTTTGATATTTAATATTTTCTTAAAATTATCACATTATACATATGTAATGTATATAATAAAATTTATATTCTTTTCAGTTATTTTATATTTAAACTTATTTTTTTATTAATCATTCAAACAAGTTTCACCTTCTTAAATTAATTTTTTTTACAAAAGTCAATCTAAACATGAATCCTATCGCACTACTTGATTTTTATTCAATTTGACTTTTATAAAAATCAGATTAAAAAAAAGTAACTTCTCTCACTGCTAATCCAACCATACTCTTAGTTAGTTGCAAGAATAAGCTAAAGGAAGAAAGAAAATCCAGTGACCATGACTGATATGGTCCCGAAAACATCGGGGTTACATTTGATGATTTGTTTTAAAGTTGCTTTGCTTCATGATTTTGCGAATGGAAAAGGGTTGGTGACAGAATAGAACTACAACGGCTTTTCTTTTTTAGATTTTTCATTTTGAGACTCGTGATTGCATGCATACTAAATGGAAGACAGCTTATAGCCTAGACAAATTGTCAAAAGGCTCAAAGGTAGCTCGAACAAATATCATTGGAAGAATTGTTATAAAGTTTAAAAAAAGCCTATAATTATTAAAAAGTTTAATATCAGTAGTTTGTAATAATAAGTTTTAGAAAATAACTTCTCATATGTTATTATGGTTTTTTTATAGTTATTTTTTTTTCTTTCAGACCTCATTTTAATTCTCGCAACATCATTCTAGTTTTTAAGAACGGAAAGCTACTCATAACCAAAAAAAAAAAGAGCAGTCACAATTATATATTTACAGCAATTAAAAATATATATTTATCATACGATTATTACAAATTTAATATTGTGTGAATAAAAATTTTATATAAATTTTATTATGTAGTTAGTTCACATTGAGATTGTGTTGCTTAAAGAAAATATAAATTTTTATTATATATATTTAAAAAAAAGAAGAAGCCCGATATAGGCAACCGTTTAAATTTTTAAAGTCAATTTTTCAGCAAAATTATAACGTTGTATTTAATTATTTTTAATTAACCATAAAAATTAATTTAAATAAAAATAAAATTATTTGAATCAAATTTAAGTCATGCAAATGTCTCAATGCATGCATACGGTACCGTCTAAATTTCTGTCTGGAGTGCTGTCCAAACAAGAGAATAAAAATAATGTCCATATATAAAAATTTCAAATAACAATTTAAATTCATAAGAAAATTATTGATTAAAAATAAAAGAACCAAGTCTAGAATATATATTTTGTTCTCACGAACTATGAATTTATAAAATCACAATGAAAGTCCACAAGTTTTACAGAAAAAAATATGAAAATATTTATAATAATTTCATAAATTCATGATCCCTCCCAATAAAATATTTTTAAATTGGGGTTTTGGCCATAATTATTTTCAAACAAAAATGCTCACGGTAGGTCAATAAGCGCAAACCGCCGGCTATACTCCAATCACCCAATGGTCCCGTACTTTCCCTCAATTCGATCCCTGACTTTGCCCCTCATTCCGAGTCGAGATTTGAGAATTGAGAGCATAGTACCGTACTTTCCCCTCAATTCGATCCCTGACTTTGCACGATATGCCTGTAATAATTTCCTCCCTCTTGCCTTTTCTGTAATTGATTTCCCCCCGATCTGCATCAGTATTTCTTAGGTTTTCATGATCACCTCATTTTCTTCGAAAATTTGCTCATTTTGGTATTGAGTTTCTTCTTGTGGTCGTGTTCTCCCGCGATGCAGGGTAAGATTTTCCTAGAGGTGGAACCTCCAAGCCCACTCAGATACTTAATGGGAGCCGCCGTTATGATGATCGGAGTCGTATTACCCGTCGGTTACATGATGTTCCGGAACAAGCGCGTTCCCTCATCTTCTTCCTATTCCAAACAGACGTAGGTGTGCCTTTGTTTTCCTCCGTATTTTCCCTTTTCTTTCTAACCAATGTTAGTTAATTAGATCAGCATTATCGGCATGTGTTTTTCGTTTCTTTTTTCAATTTTCTAATATCTTTGTTGGCCATAGAAACTACTGTAGTATTTGAATGTCTGATGGGCGGATATTTGGAAAGAAATTAATAGATCCAGAATAGCGAACTCGGAATGTCTGATTGAAGAGTGCTATTGGTTGAGACTAATTTGACGGCGTGTGTTGTTCTTTCAGGGACAAGGTTCTGATATAGAGACGTAACCGAATGCGAGAGCTGCGATTTACTGGATCTGGATTTGTCAGGTTATGTTTGAAGTTGATTTATAGGAGACTTAACCAGATTCAAAATTAGGTCAATTGTAAATGCAATGAGATCCTGTTTCTTGTTAGTGGGTTCGTCTCCAAATTCTGAACTCCGATACCAAGAAATTATATGATTGGGACTTGCATTCCATTTTTTCTCTCGGATCTGAAATCTCTTGTAGCTCCCTAATTTCTATTATGGGTTGGGGAATATTACACCGTAAAATGTCGTTGTTCTTTTATATTTTATCCTGAAAGGAAGCAGAAAGATCTTAATCTTGCTAGTTACTTAGCATTCAGTTTCACTATCATTGATCACTTGTCTTTCTGGGTATTCTACTCTTACAACACAAATAGGAATTCATGAAATTCGTAAATGGAAAGACTTCTGATACTGGAACTCATGCTTTATCGAGTATCTTATTCTATTTTTAAATTGGTTTATTCTGCAACAACAAATGCTAGTCACAATATGAGTTTCAACGGAACAAGTTTAGTCATTAATCAAAATTTATAATTACCTAAGTGTCTAGGAAATGTAGTGTTGGTGTTGGATGCCGTGTTTTTCATATTGATAGATGTGAAATGGGGTTTCAAAATTTTTGTACCTAGTGATTGGATGTCGATTGATTTTTACATGTGAACTCCTGCTGTTGAAGTATTTATTAGTTTCATGTATAGAACGGACAGAAATTCTGGATTCTATAATGTACATGGATGTCTGTTTTTTGCCCCTCCCATTAAAAGACATAAATCTATAAAGTATGGATATCCACAAAAAGTGGTATTGTATACGAAGTTCCAAAACCAGTAGAAATACTCAAATCCATGGTTACAGGCAATACTGTTCGTACGCACAGACCAAACATTGGACACAAAATGGTCAAGAAGTAGTCAGCACTACTGTGAAATACTTCTACCCTGCTAGCAGATTTTGTCATTCCAGAGAATTTGAAGACTAAACAAACATTTGAGGGCATCTACTCATACTTGCTGATGAAGAATGATATGAGAATATTGGGCATACCGAGTAACTGTGAAAATGTGTATTTATCTATAAAATGTTAATTTATTATGATATGGAAAATATGTTATGATGTTTTAAATTTAAATTAGTATTCATCTTACTATGTCTAGGCTTATTCATAAGAAACAAGCCATAATTAAATTTTAATCGTGACTTTTTTTCTTGTAAATAGACCCGAGCAGTAGTTTAAGAGTTAATACAAGGCTTGGTTCTTATAGTTTGTTTCCATCTTGGTTTTGATCCTTATAATTTGAAATCATAGATTTTTGTAATGTCAACATTTTTATTAAAATGTAAGGTCTAAAGTTTTTTTTTTTGGGTGAACAAATAAGGTCTAAAGTTTTAGAAGAAAAAAAATTTGAGGGACTAGAGCTTGTGAATAATTTGAAGCTATAGGGAGCAAAACCAAATGAAAGCAAATTATAAGGTTCATGCATTATAGTAACTCTTAATTTATTAGTTATATTTTAGCCCTGAGTTGTCTATATTAAAAAGAAAACTCCTAAATGAAGCCCATGTTTGTAGAATTGGGGCGAGCCCACTCCTTAAAGACACTAAAAAGTACCAGCATTAAACTCACAAAACCAGGAAACGAAAAGCACACTCCTAAATTGCTCGAGTCCCTTTAACAGATAACACGCACAATTTTTAAGCAGTAATTTTACGAGGAAAAAAAATGTCCTTTTGAGTAACAAAATGATTTCAAAATAGAGTGAGACGTTCCAGAAAACATTTAAAAAAACATTTTAGAAGAAAACATCGAAAAAGATAGTGGTAAAAATCGTTCATTGATGCTGATCGGGCGATCATTGGACAAAGCTGGAAACCCAACATGAAAAACTTGATCTTTTACATTCAAGTATATTAATTTATAATTATTAAATGAATCAATTACAAAATATTTTCGGTCTTCAATATAAGACTTAATTGTTGAGTTGATTTTGGTTTTAAATATAAGACCTATTTATCATATTTAACAATTTTTTCTAAATCATCCGTATTGATACTTCTTCAACCATGATCAAATAGAGGAGGAAGGGAAGATATTAAGGAAGATGATTATAGTATTTTTAGAAAAACATATCATATCTTATAATTAACTAACTAATATAACCTTTTTAATTTAATTAGATTAGTTAAATAGTCTTATATTAAGAATATTAGCAGTGTTATAATAATCAGATAAAAGATTCAACAAAATATTTATATTTTTGACCAAAGCACAAATCTTTAATTGCTTTTTATTATATCATTAAATTAACGGACATTTGTACCACAAAAAAAAAAAAAAAGCTACGGAACATAGCATCTCCAAAGAATCACAATTCACAAGCATGGGACCGTTGATGACCCCTCCGGACTCCTCAGTGAGATACCACCACTAGAGCTGAAGGCTGAAGCCTCTGCTGGTTCTGTGCTAAGAAATTAGAATCCATGGATTCTGCTGATCACAAAACTAGTACGGTGAAGTACGGAATCATAGGCGTTGGAATGATGGGCAGAGAGCATCTCATCAATTTGTACCATCTTCGCACCGAGGGCGTCGTCGTCGTCGCCATAGCCGACCCTCACGTTCCTTCCCAACAGCACGCCCTCGATTTAGCACAGTCCTTTAACTGGCCTCTCAAAGTAAGATTCTGCTCTCTTTCATTTCCCTTTAGCAATATTCTTATCCGTGTTTATGTAGTTGGATTGGGTTTTTGCTGTGATGATTCGTAGTTTAATTACTTCAAATTGCGGTGGCATATAGCATTTGCGAACATTCAGCTAAGATTAGAATTGTATGGAATATGATTAATGAGTGGTGCGTATAAATTGTATACTATCTCCGGTACTTAATATAAAACCGTTTGATTTTTATTTTGATCCTAAATATAAGATCTCAATCCACTTTATCTCTCATATTTATATTTTTTTCTAAAATAGCCCTTCTAACAATGATAGTTTTAGTCAATACACTTGATTAGTAATGATATTTTAGGAAAGACAACATCTATTTAGGACAAATAACTAACTCAACTTACTTTCTTAATCTCTTCAAATTAGTCAACTGGCTCTTATAATTAGGACCGGAGGTAGTATTATAATTTGACATCAGTTACAATTATTAGGACATGTGTTTACTTGAGCAGACAATACTGCGTTGCAAGGTGTATGACTTGAAAGTTTTGAAGGTTTTCGGAGGGCACCAGGAGCTGTTGGACAGCAGACTTTGTGACGTTTTGGTAATAGCGACTCCAAATATGACCCATCACAGGATCTTAATGGACATCATCAATCACCCCAAAGCATATCACGTTCTGGTAGAAAAGCCTTTGTGCACCATGGTCTCGCACTGCAAAGAGGTTTGTATCCATCAGATGGAAATGTGTCTACTGATCACTTACTGTATTAGTATCACTTTACAATACCTACAAAAGAACGACTTCCTTGAAAAACTATTTTGTTGTTTAACCTTCATTTCAGTGCTTTAAATTAACAATGAGATGTTTACTATATTTTGGCATTGCGCCATTGCCTTAAAAAAGTATTTTGCAAAGGCTTATTTAATAGTAGGAACAAAGTTCGATTTGGTTAGAACATGCTATAACAAGATGGCTAATGCTGACTGCCAAAAGAAGGACTGCAGATGCTGGTTTTCTTGTTGTGAATGAATAGCTTATACTGTTGTAGTTGGATGTCTTGCTGGTCATGAATGATATCTTTTTTGATTTAAATTAAATTAAATTGAGCAAAAGCTTAAAGTTAAGTTAGGTAACCCCCCCCCCCCAAAAAAAAATCTACCTCTTACAAATTGCGCGTATTCTGCACTTAGTATAGTTAAGAGGTGAATGTTAGCACAAACTTTTCTCGTTCTTCCTCATTAGTCAACAAGCAGGATCTAGAAGCATAACATTAGGTATTGTCTGGTTAGTTAAATTCTAGATTAGGTGGCAGTAATTAGATATTTGACGTGTATTTGATATTCCCCTAATGGCTTGCATTTTGGAATTAGGT